GGCTGTACAATGATTGCGTAAAAAATCAATAAAATGTCGGCTGTAGAAATCGAAAGGCATTTTGTCACGTGACTTATGCCCATGCTACCGAAAACTACCCATCACAATATCACGGCGTTGAGACGCCGTGAAATAAATGGAGGGTATTCATAATTATGGAAAATTGGAAAAGGTGGAAGCTACAGTGTTGGGCTCAGATTAGATTTAAATCAATTTGCCACATTCCAGAATTGCAATTTCTAATAAAGCAGCTAATCAAAGTTGGTTTTTTACCCTTCAATTACTAACATATTAAAAAAATAATTATCTGGCAATTGTTAGCAGGCAGTTGCTTGATAAAATTGCTTTACAGTTGTTAAAACTTTGTGTTCCATTCTTGAAACTTTTATTAATGCCTTTCTGATGTTTTCTAATATTGCATTGTTTTTGTTCTTTGTTTTTTAAATCCTATTTTGTTGTTACATTTTATTGACTTTGTTGGTAAATAAAGTACATTATTCAATTTTTCGCTGATTGACTTATAATTCAAACCAACACAGTAAAGGTCATATAGGTGAATTTCCAGTATCACTGGTGGAGTCACTGGTTGAGTCCTGTGTCCATCCATGCATTATTTCAGACATACAAAGAAAAACTGCCATTCCATAATCTTAAGCTGGAATAGCTTCCTTGCTTGAAATGCAATTTATGATTTTTGATAGAATACTTGCAACAAACGGCAATACCTAGGTTGTATTTGAACTGAACAAGTACAAACCTGCTTCATGTCTCCAAACTATATAGAAAACTACAACCTATCCCTGCTTTATGGTTCCCATATACGAGGGTTGATCAATATATTCGTGGACACACTCCATAAATTTTTTTTTCGGGGAATGAAAATAAATATAATTATATTTAACATTTATTCAATGATTTATCAATTTTATGTGTAAGTTCTCCTTCTATCTTCGTTGACTGCCGATTTCACCCACATAATGTTCGCATAGCAACAAGTTTCGTTTGGTCTGCAACATCTCTTTTCACCCTGAAGTTCTTCTCTATCCTCATGGAAGCGTTTGTGCCACTTATAAACTAAGGAACGAGACACATGTTTGTTCCAGATACAATTTCCATGCTTTCTTCAGTCAGCTGTGGCGTCTGACCAAGATTTACCCAGAACTTAATAGTTGCCTCTGCTCCAACAACCTCGCACCCTTCTTTGGTGTACACACCCCTGTCTCCATTTACATCTCTTACAAACAAAATAAATCGAAGCGACACTTGTTGTTTTCAAATAATCTATAAAGCGTAATATATCTATAGCGTCCACTAATATATTGATCAACCCTCGTATATAGAAAAAAAATACAACCTATTTTGCTTCATGAATCCCATTCTATATAGAAAACTACAACCAGTTCATGCTTCATGGTTCCTGCTTCATGTTGCATACATAATTAAAACTTTTGCTTAATTATTAAGTCCAACATTGTGTCATATGTTGAAAAGTTCCTTCCAAATCTATAGAACTCCTTAATGTTTTCAAACAAGTTTATATGTTGAAAAGTTCATCCCTAATGTATAGAAATCCGTAATGTTTACAAACAAGTTTAAATGTTGAAAAGTTCCTCCCTAATGTATAGAAATCAGTAATATTTACAAACAACTGAAACAAGTTCATACCTTGAAAAGTTCATCCCTAATGTATAGAAATCCCTTATGTTTACAAACAAGTTCAATTTCCTAATTTTTTTAGCAGCCTTCAGCTTTTCTAAAGGTCAAATATGTTATTTTTAGATAAATTGTTTCATATAATCAAGAATAGAGGTGGAAAATGAAATTTGCCACTGATAAAATACATGAACAATAAGGAACCCCCATGATACCTCTTATCTATCAGTCCGCTCTCTATATTTAATTAGTAAAGCGGACAATTCGTTTCCTTAGGGGGCAGGGGACCTAACAAGAGCTGTCCGTAAGACAGCGCGCTCGACTTTTTTATTGCTTGCCAATAAAAAAAGTTTTTGCAGTAAAAGGCAATACAAGAATCTCTGTATTTTTAAAGTGAACTAGTTGTTTGATACCCTTGAATATTACAGCAATGTTTATATGACATAATTTATGGTAAAGTGAACAAGTGGATAGGAATGAATTTTTTTAGATTTTTTAAGTTTTTTAGTGCTTGCCTATAATACAAAACATTGACAGTTAAGGGCCATAATTCAAATAAAATCTTTGACAGAATTACCTTCTCCTGGACATGTTTGGGAATCATGATTGTAAACAAGTATTCCAACTTTCAAATTAATATCTCAAACAGTTCAGTCAAAAAGTGGACTGGTACTAAAAACTTAACCAAGATTCTAAGTCGATAAAAGGCCTTAATTTTTAAAACAAATCCTTGACAGAGTTACCTTCTCTTGCGTACAGATGGGGGTAATGATGTGAAATAGCATTAAAAGTTTCAAAGCAATATCTCAAAGGGTTAAGGCAATAAGTGGATTTTACCCATATTCAATGTATTTTCTAAGTCAAAAAGGGGCATAATTCTGTCAAAAACCTTGACAGAGTTATGTCCTCTTGTCTGTTGATGAAGGTCGTGATGGTAAACAAGTATGGTCAGTTTCAAAGCAATACCTCCAATGGTTTTGAAATAAAGTGAGGTGGTACAAAAAACTTAACCAAGCTCAATACACTTTCTAAGTCAAAAAAGGGCCATAATTCTGTCAAAAACCTTGACAGAGTTATGTACTCTTGTCTGTAGATGGAGGTTATGATGGTGAACAAGTATGGTAAGTTTCAAAGCCATACTTGTAATACTTCTGAAATAAAGTGGGGTGGTACGAAAAACTTAACCAAGGTGTGACGCCAACGCCGACGCTAACGCCGACGCCGACGCCGGGGCGAGTAGGATAGCTCCCCTTTTCATAGAAAAGTCGAGCTAAAAATGAAAAATTTTGTATTTCAGTGTTACCAGAAACACAATTCCAAATATTTCAAAATCTGTTTCACAGGCAGATAACCAGTTGCACAGCATTATTCAATGATATATGACATACATTAAAGAAAATAATAGTTTGCATGCATTGCTCCTTCAAAAATGACTGACAGCAATTTATATTTACCCCCACCCAGCCAAAATCACACCTAAAATATACCAATATGGGCAATCTTCATGAAGGTGCAGCATACTCCAGAATCCGCCCGATTCCTTTAAAAATATCAGTAACACGCAGTGCAAGCCATGGCATTTTCAGAAATGACCAATAAAGTGTCTGTCATACGTTTAGATTTTTCACAAAATTTATCTGAAATTTCTTACTTGTTTGGCGCCAACTGTCAAAGCTTGATTTTTAACTTTTTCACCTCCATTCGGAGAGTCAGAGATACATACAAAGCTACCAAAATGCTTAGTTTCGGGTAAAAACCCAAAAATACTTCTCATTTCCTACACACAAACAAGAAAGAATTACAATGACAGAGAAATATCAGAAGTTATCAGTACCTTCAAAACACCATGTCTGGATTATTATAAAATTTGACCGGGGCCATCATTCGAATATGACCCCTGCCCCCTTAATCTTCTATTTTTAGAAACAAACATCACTGGTTGTTATTAATAGCTTTCGGGATGCTGTTTTGAAGAAGGCTTAATGCAATATAATGTACTTTCCTATGATCAAATTATTGAAATACTTAGTTTGAAACAACACTGCATTGTTTTCCCTTAGATAAAAGAAGCTTTTTCTTTGTAAATCAAGTTTCAGTTGCCCGTCTTATCAACGTTTGTACGATTTTGGAAATCTTGTCATACGATTTTGATCGACGATTGTCATACGCGCGATCGTAAGACTGTCTTATCAACCCGGTCGTACGTTCAACCTGAAATCTTTAGATTTTCATAGACGCACGTTTCCTACGCCTGCGCAGTATCACCTACTCTCCAAAATGGCGATAAGGCGCAAATAAATGTCAATCTGAACGAAGAAGTCTGTTGTAATTCTAACACATCTTACAACCACAAAAGTAACTGGTCTGCTGATATGAGTCTGATGTGTGCAAGTGTTACAGGATGCTGTTATTGTGAATGGGAACTATTTCTCATCGCGGACAGTCGCTGGTAAATCCCATTTATAAGGTAACCATTTTGTAGCATTTATTGATATATTAGGAAAATTAAACAAGACTTACCGTCAGGGAAGTTGCAGTTTGATTGATATTTTATGGACCATAACTTCTGAAGGGGTCAAACTGAGATCACGTGACTTCGCGTGTCTGGAAATTCAACCTTTAGAGCAAAACGCAGAGATGAATCACGAATTCTTCGTGATGTAGTCTCCAGCGTCAAGGAACAAAATCCCATCCATATCATCAACGGGTTGGTGGGAGAGGAGTTTGACCCCTTCAGAAGTTATGGTCGATAAAATATCAATCAAACTGCAAAATCCCTGACGGTAAGTCTTGTTTAATTTTCCTTTTTTATCTCCCATTAACTTCTGAATAGGCCAAACTGAGAATTTAGAGAGGGATTTTTTCCGATGACAATGAGATAAATATAAAAGTAAAGTATATTTATTAAACGAAAACAATGAACATCTAGAATACAGTTATGAATACATCATGTATCCTATAAAACAAAACACATTACCCAAGAATTGCCTTTTGAACAGTCAAGTCATTTTGAAAGGGTTTTTTATAATACCGAAAAAATGTTTTGGTATTAGACCAGCCAGCTGATTTTGCTATACGGTCCATAGACACACCTTTTTGTTTAGCTAAACTGGTTGCCACAGCTCTAGTGCTATGTGTTGTGAAAGATGAATCTATTCCTGCCTTGATTAACATTGATTTTACCCATCGGGCGACTGTTGATTTAGCCACACCTCTGTGTGGAGCTTGAGTGCTGATAAGTAATTTTTTCTCTTCTCGGGAACGCAGAACATCAGTTCTATCTAAATATTCCTTCATTGTATTAACAATACATAATTTCTTATTCTTCGCATAGTGTTCAAGTATGATTGGTTCCAAATGATAATTTGGTCTAGACTGCTTTAACAAATGATTTGGATAAACAATAATTTGATTACACATGACTTTTAAATCATTAACATTAATCAAATGTAAAGTCTGGCACCTCTGTGCACTTAATAATAGAAATAATAAGCATAATTTTCCAGATAAAAACATAAGAGAATCATCTTCAACCTGACAAATATAATTGAAAACAATGTTTACATCCCATAATTCAGGGTGTTTTGGTATATTTGGTCTCTTATTAAAGATACCCTTCATAAATTTTTTAATAATTTTGTTTTCACTAAAGTCAACATGTCCACACATACTTGTATAGGCATTAACTGCTGCACGTGCAGTAACCAAAGCACTATAACTTAAACCAAGAGAAAACAAAGATGTTAAAAAACTGACAACAATATGTACATCCGGCGTAGAAGCTACCAATCCTTTGTGATCACAAAATTTTAGCCACCTTTTAATGTATGATGTATACTGACTCCTTGTTGATTTGCGCCATCCATTTATTATTAAATTGCAAGATTCTCTTGAGAAACCTTGTTGGAATAATGTTTCCCTGATATACGGAAAGCACCTAGTGTCATCTTTTTCAGTGGGTGGCGGTAGTCCGGTTTGTGTGGCAACCGAAGAATTTTTTGAGGAGACGGAAGAAAGAATACTGACTTTATTGACAAGTTCATCAATTGTGGGTACCACACTTGTGTAGTCCATAGAGGTGCCACTAAGATGGCTTCCGCAGTATCTTCTATTGTTTTCTGCAACACTTTTGGGAGGAGACTGAAAGGTGGAAATATATACATGAAATTGTTTTTCCATGAAAAAGAAAACGCATCAATTGCAATAGCTTTATGGTCCGGGAATCTCGACACATACTTATCAACTTTATGGTTTAGCCTAGAGGCAAATAAATCAATTTCTGGTATTCCAAATTCCTCACAAATTTTTTGAAATATTTTAATATCAAGAGACCATTCAATGTCATCATTAAACTTTCTTGAAAGTGTATCTGCCTCAACATTGTCTACACCAGGAATGTGGGCAGCGCTTAAATGTATATGTCTTTTTATGCACCAAAACCATATTTCACGTGCAATATCATTCAAAACTCTGCTTTTTCTTCCAAAATTATTTATATAAGCACAGCAAGTAGTATTATCTGTATATATACGAATATGAGTGTGCGACTTATCTGAACACAGTGCCAACAAACCAAGATAACAAGCTTTAAGTTCTAAAATGTTTATATGATAACTTTTTTCATTTTCTGACCATACACCACTAGTTTTTAAATTTTGGGATTTTATACAGGCTCCAAAGCCTAAAATACTTGCGTCCGTATGTATTTCCAACATAGGATTGCCATGTGATATTTGTTTAACACTGGTTGGTAAATTATCTATCCACCACTGAACTCCCGAGACAATATCAGACGAAACTTTCATGTAAGCATTATAATTTCCACATTTCCATCGTAAATTTTTAACCTTTATTTTTTCTAGAGGTTTATAGAAAAGGGGGGAATATTGAACCCCAGGTTCAGCTGCCACTAGTTTTCCGATAAGTTGGGCAAATTGTTTTATTGTTATAGTTTTTTGTGAAATGATATGAACACACAATTCAATAATTGCCAATTTTTTCTTATCAGTTAACCGGACTGTCATTGTTTTTGAACACAATACAAATCCAACAAATTCAATTTGTTGACAGGGAACAAATTGCGACTTGGTGACATTAACTGTGAGACCTAAACTATCCATCAATGAAACTGTATCTTGTATATTTTTAAGACAGGTTGTATAGGTCTGTCCTTGAAGACATGTATCGTCAATATATGCAGTACTTATATGTCCTTTTGACCGTAAATATGCGAACACAGGTTTCATAGCTTTTGTATATACCCTTGGAGCTGTGGTCAGACCCATAACTAAGGCACAAAATTGATATTTCTGACCCTTGTACATAAATCTTAAATATTTCCTATCCTCTTTACAGATGGGAATCGAATAGTATGCATCTGATATATCCACTGAACCAAAGAAACAATCTTTAACCATTAAATTGACAGCTGTTTTTAAAGTTTCCATCTTGAAATGAATAAATTTCATGTTTCTATTAAAATTCTTGAGATTTAAGATTATGCGGACGCTACCATCTTTTTTAGGTGTAGCGAATATGTTTGAAATATATTCATCCGAACAATTTGAAAACACAGGCTCAATAATTTTACTTTTTACGAAACGGTTTATTTCAACATCAATTTTTTCGAATTGGATATCTGAAAATTTTAATGGAACTGGTACAACAGTTTGTATTGGTCTAGTGTCTAATTCAATCTTATAGCCACATAAAGTTTGTAAAATCCATTTATCAGATGTAATTTTACGCCATTTGTTAATTTTTGTAGCTGTCTTCCCAGCAACAAAATTATCCTTACTATTGATCAAATTCAAAGTCAAATTACGCCTACTTACATCTAATAACGGTTCTTGGCTTTGTTCGGCCCAGACACATTGGCTTTCCCTTTGTAAATTTGTTTGTTCTCTGGGCGGGAAACAGGATTCCTTGACTTGAAGGTTTTGTTGAAATTTTGCTTGGTGAAGTTGTTCCCCACCCTCTGCTGGCCTAAAAAATGATCCTTTGTTGAGTTATTTGTCATTTGAATAGATTTCTCTCCTTGTAAGGCTTTGGAAACTTCCACCAAATTATCCCCAAAGAGCCCTGTATCTGATGGAAGGTGTTCATTTGAGCATAGAGACTTGAATTTGTTGGAAAGTTCTTTCTTCACACTTTCCCTACGTTCACAGTTAATTTTGTGGATGCTATTTGCAATAATTTTGAACAAATCCAATATTGCTTGCTTTAATGTTGGTACATCTGTCCCTTCTTTATTACATGCTTTGTCCATGGCTAGGACAAGGGGCGTAGCTGCTCTATTCAAATGAGCAATCGCTCTTTGTCGCTGAATATCAACTGATTTTGTTGATGATCTTAGTTGATTCCATAATAAATGATCAATTTTGGGGACCTGTAGGGCAGTGATGTTTTCTGGTCTTTTGTAGATTTTGTCCAGTTCTTTCATTTTTTCATCATTAACTTTACTGGGTCGTAATGCCGCATTTAATTTGAGGGCCACTTTTTCCTGTAATTTTGGCCCGACGTCTTTTTCTTCATTGAAGAACTGTTCCAGTTCATCAAATATTTGCACTTCGTCGTCCATGTCATTGATCCCAGGTTCGTCTGTCCCCTGAATTAAATCATCAAGGTCAGAATCCTCATCGGAACTGTCTGACGAATAAAGGAATCCATTCTCTCCTGATCCGGCCTGCTTTCATTTTGTTGTCGCGCACTTGTCTGCGCAGACAACTGCTGTTCTGCGGGCTGTTCCGCCATCCTCCCCCGAAAATAAACAATCCAATTGACGGCCAAATTAACCTAAAAAAACCCAAAATATAACTATAATAACTAACAGACCCACCAGAAACACAACTTAACAGAAAAGTAAAGCTAAGAATTGAGTATATACTCGCATGTACGCATTCAGCGAAATCTTTACAATGAATGACCTAGTTAAGTACTCTTTGTGATTTTTGATGGCATCGCCATTGTAAACAAAAACAAGATAAATATTATCGTATTTCTACTATACTGTTCAGTATATTGTACATTTTGACATTCAGTCGCAATGTTAGCCCATCGGGCTGCTGCCCATCGGGCTGCTGTTTAAACAGAAAATCATTCTGTATAATCTGTCCTTCAGACAATTTATCACATATCTAAATCGATAGCACGCCTGTTTCAAGGAATTTTACTACGAAAAACAATTCACACGAATCACTCAAAATTCTTACCAAAGTGCGTCTACAGCCTTGTAAAACGAATACCTAAATCCCTCCAATTGATAACTTAGTAATTTCTTTGAAATCGCACTTTCGATAAAGCAGATTTTTATTGATTTTTTATACTCTAAATTGAACGGTTGTTTTCACTTCCAGACAAAGTCTTCGTATGAATTTCCAGACACGCGAAGTCACGTGATCTCAGTTTGGCCCATTCAGAAGTTAATGGGAGATAAAATGATTGTTTTAGCTCCATCTAAGTAGAATGACTTCTACAACCTGAACTCTTGCATTGATATAATATTTTTGGGAGTGCGTTTAGGAGGGGCTTAGCCCCCATTAGCCCCACTCCAATGTTTGTTGGCCAGTGTTGTCATCTTCATAGCTTCTTTTCTTTTGTTTTTGTTTATGTCAATAACATGCCATGCATAACAGACTAATAAAGTTAAACAGTCATTCGAACCTACTATGCACGAGTTGAGAAGTTAAGCACTCCCCTTTGCTTATGCAACTGCTTGTTGGCTTTTATATTGCCTACTATGAAATATCAGCCAACCTTATTTATTACTCTCTGATAAAAGAATTTACATTATTAATACAAGCCAACTTGTACATGTAGTTATATTTGATTTTTCACATTTATTTGTTGTTTAGTACTTAAGAAAATTCATAAGTTCAGTCTTACATTATATCTAAATGTGTTTATTGGGGCTAAATTAAAGCAATATAAAGATAAATCATCATTTACCACTTTCTAAATTCTATTTTACATGGACTTACTGTTTCACATTTCAGAACAAACTGCTCATCTTTCAGAAAGAAAAAGAAACACACATGTCATGGATGAATAACAAACTATTCTCACCCTAACCAGTTCCTCCGTCTGACAGTTCTCACTCGAAACGTTTCCATCATTTTCCTCCTCTGACAGACCCCCCCACCCCCCTCTCAAAAAATATCATATATTTATTTTCATTTTTTTTACTACTTTACTACACAGGAATTTTAGTTTTATTTTTATTATTTTCTCTCATGGTGAGAATTATAGGAAATATTGTAAGCAACATTTTTATTTTATGAATAATATTATTAAAGAAGCAGTTTCAAAATTTGTTAATTAAAGTATAATATGCAATTAAGTTGTTGAAACTTAATCAATATCTTAAGATCATAGGTTTCTTTAATGAAAATTAACCAAGCTGATAGTCGACCACAACTAAATGACCACTAGGGCAATCCAATAGTTGCACATGATGCCTCAAAGGCTTACTTTTCTACGGGCTTGTAGCATTTACAGGAAGGACGGCAGCCATTTGTTTGATCTACAACTGCTTCTCAGTGATCGTAGAAAAAATGCATGTTCTTACGATAATCGTACGATTATGAAAATCTGCGACGTTTGAGAAGACACCGCCAAAATCGTATGATCAACGTACAACAATTGTATGATCAAAACGGTCGTACGACCGTTGATAAGACGGGCCCCAGTTTACTACAGGACATTAAAAATAAATCTAAAAGTAAGTGACATTAAAATGGGGCGTCTAGTAAGTCAAAATGCCATGAAGAGAATTTTTTGTCAGTATTTCTGGACCCTCAACAAACATTTTCTGCTGAGCATGCATGTAACCTATTTATATTATATATTTGTATTGTTTATTTTAATTTGCAAGTGAATAGGAGGTTTCAGATATATTACCATACATGTATTTTCTTTGTTAACAGGGGGGCATAACTTTTTAGTTGTAAACCATAGCTAAGTCTACTTAATTCAAAAACATTGAAATAATGAAAATTTTAACTTATGAAAAATGTGCATAACTATGTCAAAATGCAATGAAGCTCACCTGACAATGCAAATCTGTGTTTCCAATGCAAGCAATTCATAAATCATATAATTATATCACAGGTAAATATGCACCACATGTTTGCTATATGTTTGGTACCCCTTAAGTTTTCCATATGTAAAACATATCTGTTTCATGTGTTTTGAAAAACATGTTTTGAAAAACATGTGTTTTTCATATGTAAGATTAACATATGTAAACAGGACCATATGAAAAACATGTGTCAACAAACAAATGTTAAACTCATGGTTACCACATGTTTTACATATTTTTCAATGTTTGAAAATTGTTTTACAAGCATGATTATATACATATATATATTTTCACTTACATGTAGTGTTGAACACTTAACACTTGATAAATTCTAATCAATTATCAAGCTCTTGCAAACCAAACTCTGGAACACAATTTATTTACCATTTGTAATGAAAAACATATATGACTCATGTGAATCCATAATTATGATTGTGGTGTTCCAATTGTTAAGTTTTTCTTTTTTTTTGGCTCCAAAATCCAACTTCTTTAGCAGGCCGGAACAATTTCATTTTTGTAGATAATTTTTAATATGTGTCATCAAAATCTGAGATGTCATATGAAAGTTTTTCTACTTTATCTCTAGCAGCCATTTGTTTGAATTTAGCTTTTATATACATTATAAAACATACTGGGTTTCATCAAAATCAGACCGGCAGTTGTGGACGAGACATTCTTTAAATATCAACTTTGGCACATATGGCATACAGGAACAATTACAGCTATTTGAAGACTGTAGCAGATCACCAAAGACTATAGTCTGATGTAAACTATTGATGACTGACAATGTATGGAATATGCCAGACACAGGGTGATCCGAATAGTTCATCTTAGGTAAGAATACAGCAAGCAATAAAGTATGATATATATATATACCATGTTTTATGATCATGAACAAAGAAGCACTTGAGAGTTACCAAGGGTGTTTTTTTCGATTGGTAAAAATTTGTTTGTTCTTTGGCAATCTTATCAGTAAAAAAAGCAAGGGATCACATAATCTTTATTTTTAGAGTTTCAATTATCAGTCTTTAAGAATTTGATTCTTTAATTTGAGGAAAAATCTTTGTCAGTACAGAACAAAACTGGTAACAGAAAAGTTAAAGAAGAAATACAGTTTAATAAGATATGGAAGAAAGACACAGATCAGCTCTTCGAAGACAGCGTCCTCGCATTTGTGAAGATCTTGATTTAGGAACAAAGTTTTATGCTGAATTGATACAAGCAAAAATCTTTAAAGAGGATCAGATTGAACAAATAAAGGTATTTAAGTTTTTTCGTATTCTGTAAGAAATAAATAATTTGAATATATAGTGCAACAATGTTTAAGATCTAGCAAACATAGCTATGTCAAACTATTTTAGATGAACAGATTTCAAATTTTTCTTTTTTTTTAAAAATGCCTAAAAAGAATGAAGACTGGTCATCAAAATTTCTAAGATGATAAACTATTAATAATGGGCGCAACAGTTATTTTATCAATTCTTACTGGAAAGTTTTGCCACCTAATGTATTTAACAAATGAAGCCATTTACAATGTAAAACTCAGATCCATTATTTAGTTGTTAGTACTTCGTTGCTGCTCGCCATTACGTGATAATGGCCTGAAGATGTGCATAATGGCCTGAGGGCCGCAGGCTGACATTTCTATGCCAAACAGTAAAAAAATCACAAGAAGTTGATAGTTCACAAATACTCCGAAAAATGTGGGAAAAATGATGTAAAATATCATCTGTTCTACATTCTATTATAGGCACAATCTACAACTCGTGACCAAGTAACCAAACTGTTGGACCTTCTACCAAAAAGAGGACCGGATGCTTTTGAAAAGTTTGTAACACTTATCAGAAAGGATTATTATTGGCTTGCAGTTGAGCTAGAAAAAGACGCCAAATTCCAAAGTATTCAAAAAGGTAAATGTGACAGTAAGATGGACTAGTCATTATTAATCTTTAAGTGATTTAGTCAGTTTAATAAATTTTAAGAAACAATCAATTTATTTATCAATTCAGTTTTTAGTTAAGTACCAAAAAAAGAATTTGCACAAAAAAAATTAGTATCATTTTAAATCAGCTTTTCAGCTTTTAAAACAAATAAAAAGTTAGTCACCAATTATGTTTCAGTCTCAACTGGAAACCAAATCAAACTATTCCCTTCAAACAGTCAAGAGAAAGTGAGTGAGCCACCAGACATGACTAACACTAACCTAACCAATGCTGCTTTCAATGGAACTGACAAGGTTACAAACAAAAAGTTTAATGATAGATGTTCAAGCCCTATTCAAATAATTGAATCTAAAAGAGAAATCATGGCAAAGCAAACACATAGTACAACTCAAACTGAAGAAATGAAGGAAGGACTATTTGCTAATGCAGATGACAAGGCCATTAATGAAGATGCCTTATCAAAACAACAAAGTCATTCTGCAGAATCTATAAACATTGAATCCTTGGATAATGATGATGCTCTACCATGGAATAAACAGGTTCAAATGGAGGCCATGAAGCAATTGTATACAAAAGTTATTGGCATAACATCCCATAATACAGAAAATATAGAAAGCAAAGAAGTTACATGGGAACATATAAACTGTGAAATTGACAAATTGGCAGAAAAGTTGAGAAATTCTGATGATTCAAAAATGCTTAATATGTGCTATGAAATACTTCCCAAAGGAACTTCAAAACAACCACTGAATCAAACAATGAAAAGATTGCTAGAAGAGAAAGAAAATCTTCACAAAGAGGTTAAACAACTAGAAGAGACCTGTGAACAATTAGAAAAAGAGAATAAGAAGTATATTGATGATGTGTATAAAAAAACCAACAAAATAAGAGAGCTAAAGAAAGACAAAAAAGAACATGATAAAACACTCGACAAAATTAAAGAAAATTATGAAACATCATTAGATGCTAAGGATAAGACATGTATGGAACAGATAGAAGAAAAAAACAAGAAAATTGCGGATCTGGAAAAGAAAGTGGAGGAAATTTTAGCACAAAAGCCCAGTCAGAAGGTCCAAAATGTACCATTGAGTTCAAATCCCTTTAAAGAAGTTTCTACAAGAAAACCTGGAAGAACAAGGGCTCAAAGATCTGGGTTAATTTCTTCACAGGCATATACCCCAAAACAAACTTTCTGCAGGCAAAGAGATGGTCATAGTAAGATTCCAAAAGTTATGAAAAAAGTTAATTTGTAAACATGAATGTCAGTCAAACAGTGATTTTACTACACGGTTGAATCAACAGAGGCTTAAATCACTAATATACATTTCTGAAACTAGAGGGTTATGATGATCTCATATTTTCTATTTTAGAAAGGTTGAAAGTTTTGAGGGCCATGAATAGTTTAGTTACGATAAATATAATTTTCATTTTAGTTTGAATAGATTTTAGTTTAGATGTTAGAAATTTACGGTAATATTACTTGACAGAATGACAAAAATATCATTGCAGTAGCTTTTAAAATCATAACTTGCTTTGTTCAAGTATTTAAATTGTTGATATATTTTTTTTATAATATGTTCTTGCATTGTTTTAAATACCAACTTTCTTTTTAATTTTCTTTTAATTCATTGTAAATATTTTCTTTGTAATATTTTCTTTTTTATTTATATAAATTACATATATAGTTTTGAGCTTATTTATTTACTTGTGTTAAAAATTCTTTTTTTATATCACTTGCTTATTGCTATATAATATTTCTTTTTGGACTATTTTCATTATTGTGTTTACATTATTTGTTTATCATGACCCTTTACTTGAATGCAGATTCCCATACATTTTTATTTAAACAAGACATATTCATTAAGAATTTTATATATTTCAATAGATTTCTGTAATAAAAATATATTACTGAAAGATGCACATTGTATATCTTTAAGCATAAATGTATATGAATGTGGTGGTGTGTTATAGGTATCTGTGACACAGTAAATTGGTGACTTATAGGCCCATTGCGCCGTGTACTATAATCATACACATTAGGACATATTATGCTCATTATTTGTTATTGGCTATGCACATGTCACAATAATAAACAACTTCCTTCTTTCCTTATTATATATTGAACTGTATAACACACCTATTCACCACTATAAGTGACTCTGAGACATTTGGAAAGTAAATAGGCCAATAAAATTTGCCTTTTTAACCCTTTCACTGCCATAGTGACGGCACATGCCGTCCCTATTATTTTTGGCGTATTTGCCATATGGACGGCTTTTGCCATTTCTATAATAATGATAATAATTATAACAAGCATTTGATAGTATTGCGGGCAATACAGTAGTCCCCTACCGGTCCCTCAAAAAGTTCTTTAATTGTCATACACTCCTGTGTATTGCCATTTATAATGAATTTGAGGATGAAGTCTGTATTTGAAAATATCGACCACAAAACATAATAAAATAAGTTTGTTTATATCACAATAATGTGTTAAGTTTCCATGCTTAGTAAGGAAATTATGTTTATACAACCTTGTCATATTATTACGATGTGGGATTTTAAAGTAAATCCTATAAGGAATGAAGAAGTTGGAGTGAAAATACCAGTTTCTCGAAAAAAATCTAAGTTCAAGGGGGACATAATTCTGGAAATAGTCTTGCTAGAGTATTTAACCTTCTCAAAAATGTCGAGTGATAATAAGAAACATATATATGAAGTTTGAAGTAGATACATTAGGAAATAAAGAAGTTATTTAAAAAGACAACATTTTTTCCCCTAAAAAATCTAAGTTCAAGGGAGGTAATATTAATATTTTTTTGTGCTAGAGTTATAAACCTTGTCACATATGATGTGGTTGATGACCAGGAACTTATATTTTAAAGTTTGAAGTAAACACCTTAAGAAATAAAGAACATATAGTGAAAAAGCTGAAAAATTTAAATCAGAAATCTTGAAATTCAGGCTATTTGTTGCCATAGCAACCAGAATTTTCAACATAGGAAGAAAATAAAAAGATGTGCATAATCTCCAGACTGCCATCTACCCATATTTCAAGTTTCATAAAAATATTTTCAGTACTTTTTTGAGTTATCACTGGATCCAGTTTATGTGTTAAATTTGCCATATTTTCAGACTATTTGTTGCCATAGCAACCAGAATTTTCAACATAGGAAGAAAAAAAAAAGACGTGCATAATCTCCATACTGCCATCTATCCATATATCAAGTTTCATAAAAATATTTTCAGTACTTTTTGCGTTATCGCGGGATCCAGTTTTGTGGACGGACGGACTGACAGACTGACTGACAGACAGACAGACAGACAGACGGACAGACAGACAGACGGACAGACGGACGGAGGGTAAACCTAAAGTCCCAGACGGACAGACAGACGGACAGACGGACGGAGGGTAAACCTAAAGTCCCCTCCGGTTAAACCGGTAGGGGACTAATAATAATAATAATAATGATAAATATATAGATAATTATACCATCAACAATAATTATTATATACTAGCAGATTTGGAAACATATATAATTATTATAATACTAATAACAAATAATAATAATTATTTTAATTAATAATATAGTAATTTCTTAGAAAACCTTCTGGCAAATAGGTGATCAATAAATAACCCTCTGGCAGCAAAAGGGTTAATGTTCAAGTCATTAGATAGAGACCTTTGCAGCAAATAGGCACGTGCTTAACAACTGGATGACAGCATTATATGTTTTGATAAAGGAGTACACTTTGACCAATATTGCATGAAACTGACATGTATATATTCCATCCCAGCTCATGAATTTATCTTTAGGCTGAGCTGGAGGTTGGTGCAGCCCTTAAGCCAGGCCTGAATCCGCCACTGTTCTATCAGACTGTATACATATATAAAACTATATTGCATAATCTTTTTCTACTTAAATTTATATTCTTTCCTGGACAATTTATATATTTAGTGCTTTGTACGTATTTATATATATGCAAAAGAATACCGCAGTTTATGTAAATTCCGATGATAGGCGAAATGTGGAAAAATTCCAATGATCCAATAACAGAGTTCTCGCCCCTAAACAGTTCACAATCTCTAGACATTGTTTAAGTTGTTTATATATAATGTAAGATGATCAAAGATAATCCGAAAAGCATCAGACACCAAGCTTCCTAAAAGGACCATAACTATGTCAAATATTATGCAATCAAAAAACCTTCAAACTATGCGCCAAGGCACTTGATGACATAGCTTCTGTGAAAGTTTGAACAAAATCCCTTGAGAAATGTAGGACAGCACCGCGACAATTATGAGAAAACTATATTCAATTTGTGAATTTTTTTCTTAAAAAAGAAAATCTATATACGGTAGATTACGAAGAATTACCCAAATGACCCTTTTTCAGAAATTCTATGAATAATTTACAATAAACAGACAAGCCACACAAACACGAACATTCAGTAATTAATTTTTATAGCATACGTTTCGGCTATATGCCTTCATCAGTGCAAAACATAATAAAATTAGCCGAAGTGACGTCATATAGGAACACGCTTTAAACGCGCGTAAAACGTTATGGCGTTTCGCGGCAAAAATATGATAACATGTAGAAACAATTATTTATGTAAACAAGATTGCATTTGAGAAAAATGCTATGCCACCGCATTAATACAACACTAAATAGTAGTGTAGGAGATTTTCTTTGTTTCTATACAATTTTGAAGATTGTCATAATGCATATTTGTCAGATTAGTGGTTAAATCTGTTGTTAACTCAATAAAAGATCAGAGTAGGAATATATCAATGCACTTGAGTCTAGTGAATTTGGTGGTGAAGGTCATATTTCACACAGCCTAAATTTCATGACTACATCAAAGGACAACATAGTAAGACACTTTGTCAAAATCTAGGTCAGCTGAAATCAAAGTTCACTTAACATCTTAATCTGTACACATGGTTTAAATTTCATAGCTGTACATCAAAGGACAAGAAAGTAGGTCACATCATCAAAATCTAGTTCACCTGATATCAAAGTTCAATTTTACAACTAAAACTGTGCACATGGTCAAAATTTCATTGCTGTACATTAAAGGACAAGGAAGTAGGTCACTGTCCCCTTGGGCAAGGCAAAATTTTGGACCCAAGGGTTTAATTCAAAACAATCTTGATACAGGTCCACCAAACAACATTTCAAGTCAAATATCTAAGCTGTAGCTTTCTCCTATTCAGAAAAGATTTGTTTTATTTTCTGTTTTTACTATGTGAACATAATGAGAATCGCTGCCCCTGGGCAGGGCCAATTTTTAACACTAGGGGCATAATTAAAACAACTTTAGTAGAGAACCCATAGAATATATTATAGAGCAAACATCAAAGCTCTATGCCTTGTACCTTCAGACAAAAATATTTCTTTTTTTTTTTACTATATGTACATAGTAAAAATCAATGACTCCTGGGGGTGGGGCCAATTTTGACCCCAGGGCTATAATGTGTACAATCTTGCTAGAGGTTCACTACATAATGTTTCATGCAAAATATCTTAACTCTAGCCTTTGTAAATTTAGAGAAGGTGATTTTTTAAGTTTTTACTATATACATATAAGGAAAACCTATGGCCCATGGGGCGGGGCTAATTTTTGACACAAGAGGCAAAATTTGAACAACTTTGGTAGAGTACCTATAGATGATATCATTTAACAATATTCAAGCTCTAAGCCTTGTACCTTCAGACAATAAGATTTTTTTATTTTTTACTATATGTATATATTGAAAATCAATGAGCCCGGGGCAGGGGCAATTTTGACCCCAGGGCTATAATTTGAACAATCTTGCTAGAAGTTCACTTCACAACGTTTCATGCAAAATATCTAACCTCTAGCATTTGCTAGAAGAAATTTTTTTACTATAAAGTTTTTTTCTATATACATATAAGGAAAACCAATGACCCCAGGGGCAGGGCCGATTTTGACCCCAGGGCTATAATTTGAACAATCTGAGTAGAAGTCTACCAGACAATGCCTTATGCAAAATATCTAAGCTCTAGGCCTTTTGGGTCTTTACAAGAAGGTATTTTAAGTTTTTACTATATGTACATATCGTGAAAATCAATGACCCCCGGGGCGGAGCTGATTTTTGACCCCAGGGCTATAATTTGAACAATCTTGGTTAAGGGTCTATCAGACAATGCCTTATGCAAAATATCTAAGCTCTAGGCCTTTTGGGTCTTTACAAGAAGTTATTTTAAGTTTTTACTATATGTACATATAGTGAAAATCAATGACCCCCGGGGGCGGGGCCGATTTTGACCCCAGGGTTATTATTTGAATAATCTTGGTAGAGGTCTACCAGACAATGCCTTATGCAAAATATCTAAGCTCTAGGCCTTTTGGGTCTTTACAAGAAGTTATTTTAAGTTTTTACTATATGTACATATAGTGAAAATCAATGACCCCCGGGGCGGGGCCGATTTTGACCCCAGGGTTATAATTTGAACAATCTTGGTAGAGGTCTACCAGACAATGCCTTATGCAAAATATCTAAGCTCTAGGCCTTTTGGGTCTTTACAAGAAGATTTTTTAAATTTATTCTTATAATTCCTTTTGGTTGCCATGGCAACCAGATTTCTGCATGGAATGAAATTCTTTGAACAACTTTGGAAGCCCTTCACCCAAGGATCAATCCTGCCAAGTTTGGTTGAAATTGGACAAGTGGTTTTTCACAAGAAGATTTTTTAAATTCACTATATAATCTATATAACACACACACACACACACAAACAAACACACAGGTGAATCGCTATATGCCACCGCATCGCAGATGCTGCGGTGGCATAAAAATAAAGCTGGTACATGAATTAAAATGGATCAATAGTGATACAAATGTCTATTAGACAGTGTTAATGAAAATAAGATAATAGACAAACATATTAATATTCATGTAACCCATTATAAATCAAACAATACTTTATTATTTAGTCCATTTGGAAATATAGTATTTAATTTATGGATCCAAAAAGATTCTTTACATAACCTGTCCATGTAAATGTTATCTATAATTTCTATAGGCAAAAATGAAAAATCTGACAATGAACACTTATTATCGTTTGATCCGAAATGGATCGCAACATGTGAAACTGGATTTACGTCACAATTTCTTACATCAAATTTATGTTTATTCATTCTGCATGATACATTTTGATTAGCTTGACCTACGTATTGCTTTTTACAGCATTAACATGTAATGAGGTAAATAACATTACGAGTAGTACCTGTAAATCAAAAGAGCGACCTGTTATGCTGCTATTGAACATCTACCTGGTAAACATTGGCTAGATAAAAATGTGTGATCAAGTAAAGCACTTCTCATAAGATAATCTCGAATGTTTTTAGGACGTCAGTATATGCTAAAATAGGTTTGAACTTTGTATGTATATTTTTAACACTTTCCTTATCAGACAAAAGTAATAGATCCCAATATTTATTTAAGATTTCACCAATATTAGGCAGAGATTGCTAATATATTTTTTTTTTTTTTTTTTTTTTTTTTTATGAATAATTTACCACTCTTTGAGGGCATTTTTTGTCTGTTACACTATAATCAGATGTTTACCTTGTAATTATATATCAGATTTGTTTGCAATGTTACAATAACTTGATCAGAATAAGTTCTTAAAATTTGACCAGTTTGTTGAAAAATGTCTTTCATTATTCGGTAACCATACGACTGAAAGACAAATCTAGATTCATTGAGCTTGAAAAGTCTTTGTCCACAAACTTTAAATTATCAAAAATATTGCTGCAAATTCCCAATTTGGGTTTAAATATCTAATTGCATACATGTGAACTTTTTTTGATGATCAAATGGGAGGTTTTACTTCAGAAAGAGGGAAGTTTAGAATTTGCAATAAACATTAAGAAGGACATCAAAAATAGTAAGATTTTTGAAATTTGTGAAAATACCCCTTATTTTAGGAAAAATCTTTGAAAATATGGCTGCAAAAAGTGAGACTGACTCCCGCTAATAGTGGGATCAAGAGTTCACATGTATGCTTATTGAAAGACCTTAGATTAACATATTTTTGTCGTTTCTGCCATTTACTGATTAAACTGTGATATAAAAAAAAAAATCTGCGAATCAAATTGAAAGCAATTCAACTTTTGAGTAAGACGAAGTTTTAATTTTAAACAATACATCGACACAGAAAAATTGAGATTTTAATCACTTATACTCATATTAGAAAAATAAGGAAAAGACAAAATTGTAAGCTTAATTTATAAAGATTGTGATGTTTTGCCGATTTGTGATTTGGTCTGTTGTACCCATTCTAAAAATTGTGAAACTGTTCCTGATTGTGAATTGGCCTGTTTTTCGGTACCACTTATATAAGGAAAAAAACTTGCTGTAATATCTTGTCCTATGATCAGGAACAAAGAAGCACTTGAGAATTTCCAAATAATAATAAAAAAATTTGTCAATCTTATCTAAAAAACCAAGAGGGCCATGATGGCCTTTATATAGCTCACCTGATTTTGAAGGTTCAATCCCAATTTCCAGGATATTTGGACTGGGACAGTATCCCCTACAGTTTGTTTGAGATTTTTCAAAATTTGGGCTGTGCGACCTAGTTTTTGACATTATATTCAAATTTTTGACCTATATTCGAGCTTGATTATAACAACATTTCTGACAGATTTCCAGGAAAATTGGACTTAAACAATAGCCCCTAGAGTGTTTTGTATTTGGGATGTGACCTATTTTTTGACCCATATTCAAACCTGACTAAGAAATCATTAAAACAACCTTTCTGACCAATTTCCAGGATATTTAGATCAAAACAGCAGCCTCTAGAGTGTTTACAAGGTTTGTTCCATATTTGGATTGTGTGACCTAGTTTTTGACCCCAAGTGACACATATTAGAACTTGACGTGAAGATCATCATAACAACCTTTCAATCCTATTTCTAGGATATTTGGACTGGAACAGTAGCCCCAAGAGTATTAACAATGTTTATTCATATTTGGGTTTCGTGACCTACTTTTTGACCCCAGATGTCCTATTATTGAACTTTACCTAGAAATCATCAAAACAACCTTTTGGAACAATTTCCAGGATATTTGGATCAAAACAGTAGCCACTAGAGTGTTGTTAACAAGATTTTTCATTATTTAGCTCCTGTGACCTAGTTTTTCATCAGCGGTGACCCATGCTTAAACACATCCAAGCAATTACTTAGACAAACAACATGACCAAGTTTGATGACAATTGAGGCTAAAATGTGACCACTAGAGAGTTAATGAACTAAATGTGGATGGACAACAGACTATTGACATTCAACAATCCTAAAAGCTCTGCGAGCCAGCTCAGGTGAGCTGCACAGCAAAAGGGACCTGACGTAATATTTATTTTTAGAGCTCCAATAATCATTGTTTAAGAATTTGAATAAATGATCATTCATTGGAGGGAAAATCTTTAAATTGTCAGTACTGCACAAAACTGTTAACAGAAATGTTAAAAGGTGCATTAAAGTTAAATAAGATATGGAAGAAAGACACAGATCAGCTCTTAGAAGAGTGCGTCTTGAAATTGTTAAAGATCTTGATTTGGGAACAAAGCTTTATGCTGAACTGATACGAGCAAAAATCTTTAAAGAAGATCAGATTGAACAAATAAAGGTATTTAGATTTTTCATATTCTGTAAAGAAAATGTTTAAATATGGCAACAATGTAGCTTTGTAAAACTATTTTAGATGAAAGATTTCAAATATTTTTTCATAAAGCTGCAAAAAGAAAATAGACTGGTTATCAAAATTTGTAAACTGTTAATAATGGGCATAACAGTTATTTTGATATTTTATTTGTCATCTAAATTGCATTAAAAATGAAGTCATTTACTATGTAAAATTCTGGTTAATTACATAGAATGTGACCAGGCAAAAGTTTAATGCATTCATATTGGACAGACAATGACAAAACAAGTAGCAGTCAAAGACTCACATATCTACGCCAAACAAGAAAAAAACTTACTTTGCACCAAAAAATTATAAAAAAAATGATGTCAAATTTCATCTGTTCTACATTCTATTATAGGCACAATCTACAACTTGTGATCAAGTAAACAAACTGTTGGACTTTCTACCAAAAAGAGGACCACAGGCTTTTGATAAGTTTTTAAATCTTGTCAAAAAGGATTATAACTGGCTTGCAGATGAGCTAGAAAATGAGCTTGAAAAAGGTAAATTGGACAGAATGATGGATTAGTCAGTATTAATCTTCATACATTGATTCACTCAGTACAATAAATTTGAAGAAACAATCAAGACTTTTTAACTTGGGTATAGAGACAATAAATATTTAAATTGAAAATATCAAAATGTCTTGTCTCAATTCTTAGACAATATTAACTTGATATGTTAATACCTTTACCTACTTCCTTTTTTATTAAGTACCCACAAAGAATTATCCAAAAAGAAGTTGTAAAAAAAAAATCTTCGGCATTACATATCACTTAAGATTTTAAAACAAGTATAAGGTAATTGTCAAAAATTATGTTTCAGTCTCACCTGGAAACCAAATCAAACAACTCCCTTCAAACAGTCATGAGAACTTGAGTGAGCATGAGCAGACACAAGAGATGACTAACACTTACCTCACCACTGCTGCTGCTTTCAATGGAACTCACACAGATACAAACAAAAAGTTGATGAATAGAGGTGCAAGTCCTATTCAAATAATTGAACCTATAAGAGAAATTATAAAAAATAGGAGGCATAATGCAACTCAAACTGAAGAAGGACTATTTGCTAATGCAGACGACAAGGCCATAAATGAGGGTGACTTATCAAAAACTAAAAGTCATCCTGCAGAATCCACAAATATTGAATCTTTGGATAATGATGATGTAAATCATACAAACACTGCTCTACCATGGAATAAACAGGTTCAAATGGAGGCCATGAAGCAATTGTATACAAAAGTTATTGGCATAACATCCCAAAATACAGAAACTGTAGAAAGCAAAGAAGTTACATGGGAGCATATGAACTGTGAAATTGACAAATTGGCAGAAATGTTGAGAAATTCTGATGATTCAAAAATGCTTAATATGTGCTATGAAATACTTCCCAACGAAACTTCAAGACAACCACTGAATCAAACTATGAAAAGCTTGCTACAAGACAAAGAAAATCTTCATAAAGAGGTAAAAAAACTAGAGAAGATTTGTGAAAAATTAGAGAAAGAGAATGAGAAGTATATAGATGATGTGTATAAAAAATCTAACGAACTTAAAAAAGTCCAAAATGAACATGATAAAGCACTAAAAAAAATTAAAGAAAATTGCGAAACATTATTAGATGCTAAGGATAAGACATGTATGGAACAGATAGAAGAAAAAAACAAGACATGTCTGGAACAGATAGAAGAAAAAAACAAGAAAATTGAGGATCTGGAAAAGAAAGTGGAGGAACTCTCAGCACAAAAGCCTAGTCAGAATCCCTTAAAAGTTGATTCTACCAGACAACTTGGAAGAACAAGGGCTCAAAGATCTTATTCAGTTTCTTCACAGTCATATACCACAAATAAAACATTTTCCAGGCAAAAAGATGGTCACAGCAAGGTTCTAAAAGTTATGAAAAAAATATAGTTTGTAGACATAAATATCAAACAGTGATTTTACAATCAACAGAGGCTTAAATCATTATTATACATTTCTGAAACTAGAGGGTCATGATGATCTATTTCATGGTTCATACAGGACTTAAGCAAACAAATTCAAGGATTTTTAAGAACCTTTTATCAATATTTAAGGACTATTTTAGTCGCTTGTGGCTTAAATCTTTATGACCATTCAGGCTCTTCATGATGGAACAAAAGTTATAAATCAGTTTTATTTCTGAAAAACTACCTTTATGATTTACATAGAAAAAGTTCCAGTCACTTTAAATGTCAATAATAGATTTATCTGCCTACATACAAACAAAACAGTTACAAGTCACTTTAGAGCACTTTTTCTCATTGTTTCTATGTCTATAAGTTTATCGCAGAACGTACATAAACACTTATGCTTGTCAGACTTAAACTCCTTAAGCCACAGTGAATATTTATCCTCTGGAAGTCATTTAGTAGTAGCAAAACACACTTATTTTCAGGACCACTCATCTTGACCTTGCTTTGTTGTGCATGATCACACTAGAAATTATTCATGTTGTGAGAATTGTAATTCATACCTTAAACCCGTATTTATCCATACCAAAATCGCGTTTAACTTGTGTTCACAATCAGAGTGGGTGGGATGCACGTACATTTTCTTATTGTTTTTTTTTTTTCACTTTTTTTGATGTCATTGTTATTACACCCTCCATTTTTTTCAAAATCCAAGGACTTTTCCAGCTTTTTTTGAAAATTCAAGGACTTTTCCAAGGGATTTTTTACAAGCAATATTCAAGGACTTTCAAGGACCTGTGCAAACCATTCTTTAAATTTCTTGTAATACTTTTTTTATTTTTATTTTTTTATTTATTCTTTGTTTATAAATATTTATTTAAGCTTGATAGCGAAACAAGTTCTTGTAACTTATGTTAATCATTTTCGAGTTCGCTTCCTGGATCTAACCAGAACTGGTGTCATATGAAGAAACATGGTCATGACCTATAGCTTGAACCCATGATCCCTGGGTTGAGTGGCAAACACTTTAACTACTAGGCCACAACTCCCCTATTAATTACTTACATGTATACAGTTTTGAGACTAGAAAATTCTTGATATCATTTGCTTATTGTTTTATAAAATTTCTTTTTGACTCAATATACATTGTTGAACTATTTTCAGTATCTGAATTTTGCTTGTTGGTTAATGTTCTTTGTTTTTTATAAATTTTATTAATATGATATTCTTTGATGAAATGAGCCGTGTCACGACAAAACCAACATAGTGCGTTTGCGACCAGCATTCGCGCAGTCTGATCAGGATCCATGCTGTTCACTTACCAACTCTATAACAAGTAGAGAAACTGATAGCGAACAGCATGGATCCTGATCAGACTGTGTGGATGGTCGCAAACGCACTATGTTGGTTTTGTCGTGAAACGGCTCAATTGTACTTTGTTGTTTCATTCATTAAACAGATATAGCCAATTAAATCTTATTTTGTTTCTTGCAATTAATATTGTCTATTTGACCCGAGAAAAACAAGAGCACCCCATAGGTGTGGCATTATACAACTGAATGCAATTTTGTTTCAAGTAAATACTAGAAATGTGTCATCATGCCACGGATGCCCCCGCATGCAGCCAAAATTTCAGATGTTATAATATTTAGTTCCAAATTTGTTTGCACAAATAATTTTTTTCATTTTAAGTTCAAAGCCCTTAAAACTTTTCAATGTTAACACAAACCATTTTCATACACTGTTCAAGGCACTTGAAATTATTCAGTCTAAACCTTTTTTGAAAATAGCATATTTCATATTTGTAGCCAAAATAATGGCTACATACATTTCAGTGCCTGAAACTGAAAGTTCAAAATTTTTACAACATTCAAGAAAGATAAGTTTGTCCAAATCATTGAACCACAACCAAATTCAAACTTAAACTGCTTATTCCTAAGATGTATCTATATTATTCTCAAAGTGAAAGGACATAACTCTGCCAAAAAGTCATCGAACCATGACCAAATTCAAACTTGACCTGCCCATTCCTTTGACATATCCATTATTTGAGTTGAATATGTAAACACTGTTGGGTAGATAATGAACAGAAAACTGTAAATTTCATATTATTTTCAAAGTGAAAGGGGCATTACTCTGCCAAAAAATCATTGAACCATGACCAAATTCCAACTTGGCCTGGGCATTCCAAAAATATATCCATATGTCAAATTTGAGTTGAATGTGTTGTACCATTGGGGAGATAATAAACAGAAACTGAAAATTTCATATTATTTTCAAAGTGAAAGGGGCATAACTCTGCCAAAAATCATTGAACCATAACCAAACTTTGAACTTGACCTGCGCATTCCTGTGACGTATCCATATGTCAAGTTTGAGTTAAAAAGTGTTGTACCATTGGGGAGATAATGACCGGAAACTGAAAATTTCATATTATTTCCAAAGTGAAAGGGGCATAACTCTGCCAAAAATCATTGAACCATGACCAAATTCGAACTTGACCTGTATTTTGTCACGACATATCCATATGTCAAATTTGAGTTGAATGTGTTGTACTGTTGTGGAGATAATGAACGGAAACTGAAAATTTCATATTATTTTCAAAGTAAAAGGGGCATAACTCTGCCAAAAATCATCGAACCATGACCAAATTCGAACTTGACCTGTATTTTCTCATGACATATCCATATGTCAAGTTTGAGTTGAATGTGTTGTACCATTGGGGAGATAATGAACGGAAACTGAAAATTTCATATTATTTTAAAGTAAAAGGGGCATAACTCTGCCAAAAATCATCAAACCATGACCAAATTCGAACTTGACCTGTATTTTCTCACGACATATCCATATGTCAAATTTGAGTTGAATGTGTGCAACCGTTACTAAGATAATGAACGGAAACTGATGATGACGGAATGACAGAATGACGGAATGACGGAAGGACGGAATGACGGAAGGACGGAATGACGGAAGGACGGAATGACGGAAGGACGGAACAGGGTAACACTATATGCCCCGGCCATTACATGGCGGGGGCATAAAAATTTAAAGCTATCAAAAAAATATGTTTAAACTAAGAGGATACACATTTACAACATTTGTCCAAAACATGTTTTATTTCAATTATCAATATTTTTAAGATCTTTATTGAGACATGCCAAAGAGCTATGCTCTTGTCACATGAATACTTAGTGACAATAATATATGCGACAGCTTTCCCTTGTGGAGTACAGACCTAGACATGTCACCAGTCATGCCATTTTGAAGCAAAGAGTGGTAATTATTTATCTCATTGTATGTGTGTATGTATTCTAGGCTTAATGAGGGTCCATCTACTCTTTCAGGCACTAAGATTATGATCCCTAGACATGTCACCATTCATGTCCTAAAATGTTATATCAACCAAAACTTGACATATAAATTTTGACATTTTTGAAATTACAGTTACCATAGCAGGGACTCACAGGTATAGACATGTTAGAAATTACATAACTTTACAGTAGCAGGGGCTCACAGATATAGATATGTTAGAAATTACAGTTACAGAAGCAGGGACTCACAGATATAGACATGTTGCAGTAATTTGCTGAATGATACTAAATATGTATGCAAGTCAATTTTTGTGACGATACTATTTTGATGCATGGTAGGCCAATGAGACCATTTTATGCATAATAGAGAAAAATAAATGCTCATATTTTTCAGATGAGTTTGACTGACTGATTATGCAACTCAGACTGCTACCTGACACATATTTTCCATATCCACGACCTACATGTAAGTGCAATCTTTCCCTTTTTTTTCAGGCGAATTTGTAGCATATATACTGACTGAAAACAACAAAAATGTTGGTTTTTAAAGTATAAAAATTAAAAAAAAACATACAAATAATACTATACTAGAAATTCAAAAGCACAAAACATTATGCCTTAAAAATAATAACAAGAGCCATGTTAACATGGCCATCCCCAGCTGAATGTGGTTGCTCATTGGAAGAATGTATATGAAGTAGAGTAGAATAATTCAATTTTTAGAGATCTTTTGGTAGTGAAAACTGATGGCTGAAGTGATTACAAATTTGAAACCTATGTGAATACTGATGGCTAAAAATAACAAAGGGCAATAACTTAAAATTATGCAGGGTAGGTTATCATTCTTGTGTGCTGCACTCCTCCTCAATGAGATCTATCCACCTATGAAGTTTCATGTTGATATCTCAAAGGCTTTTGAGTTATGCTCTGGACAAAAATTTAGTTTGAAAAATAACAAAGGGCAATAACTGAAAAATTATGCAGGGTAGAGTTATCATTCTTGTGCAATGCACTCCTCCTCAATATGATCTATCCACCTATGAAGTTTCAAGTTGATACCTCAAAAACTTCTTCAGATATGCTACGGACAAAAATGTGGGAAGGAAGGTGATGCAAAACCTAAAATTAATGATATGACTAGTTGACACCTGGGTAGGTATGATTAGCTCCACTATTCATTCATCATTTTGTTTGTTTTACTGGATTTTAAGTGACAACAACTCTCTTAAGGTGACTATAACTTTACTGGAGCTGGAATACCTTCCGTACTGCTTTGTGCATTATTTCAGACACAAGCTAACACATGTCAGTAACACCACTCCCCTTACATGAGCTAGCTTGATAGCTTCCTTATAAGAAAGAAACCAAAGTCATTAGGGGATTCGAGCCCACAACATTGAGGGGAAAGTGATTTGAACTTAAGGACACAGCCACACCCAAGAACTATGAGGGAGGGGTAAAAACAATGTAGGTTTGGTTTTACGCTGACTTGAACATAATTTTTGGTCTTCTCTCAACATTAAGTTCACCTTCACTTGCTTCACTGGCTATCCAACCGGAAATAACAATTTCTCCATAACAACTATTAATCCAACATGATTTTTGAATCAGTGGTGAGAGAGAGACTCAACTGTCACAGACAAATTTTGCCTCACCCATTAGATTCAAACCTACAACATCTAAACCAAACTTTCTAAAACAGTAGTTGAAAAACTAGTGGAAGAAAACAAATAGAATTCCATTACAAAATAAGAATTTCAAGAATTGGTGATTACATTTAACTTGTATTATAACTTTTTTTCCTTTTCAGTCCATTCTTAATTTCATAAAACAAAAGAAACACATTTATTTTTTTAAAAAAAGACAGTAATCATGCCACTTGATGTCATAAAATTATATAATGATCTTATATCTTAATCTTTTCATCACATTAACTAGACCCTAGAAGCTATCATATACAACTTTAAATAATCAATGTTATGTTAATCTTTTGTAAATCTTTGGTACAGTATTTCAAATGCTGTCGAGGCCACCTGATAAATTATAACCTATCATTGGATATTCCATTTTGTCTTACCACATACAAAGCCAGAGAGGCCTTGGAAGTAGCAAACTTCAGCAAACATTTTTTTCAAATTTGGAAAAACACAGTACTATTCATATCAGTATATAAATTGGGAAAACCTTCAGCTAGCATAGTGACCAACAATTTTGAAGATTTACAAAAGGAAATTGGGAACAAAACACTTTTCTTTTACATGGTATATTTGTTAACAATATACATAAAAGCTTATTGAGGTAAACCATTTTAAATATGAAATTATATGCAAGAAAAAATATCTGACATATGTTTGCAGTTCGAATGGGAATATCTGTCCCTCGGGAAACCGCCCAATGGGCGGGGTCCCTCAAGATCTGAATATCCTTCCTGAGGGGACCAATTTACTCATGGGAAGTTTCCCGAGGGATGGATATACCAATCCTTACCGCAACATATGATAGAAATTATTACTCTTAAAATTTGTATTATTATTTGATAATTTTTTTTTTTAACACTTCACATAAGAATTTTCATCAGTTGTATCAATTACAGACTAAGTGAAAACTTTTATTCCACATCTATTTTATGCCAAAATAGGGGGGAAAAATAACAGAAGAATAAAATTATAACTGTCAGAGGTGCTACCAAGGTTACCCTATGTTTTGACATGTCATAAATTTCAAGCAGGTCTGGTACTTCATTTTCTAATATACAGATATATGATTATTCTACAATATGATAAGAATACATAGATTCAGTGGGAATAAAGGTTTGATTGCACTAAAGCTGAAAAAAGCTATCCTGGTTTCAAGGCCTCAATAGACTTACTCCAGAATAAAGAATATTTTGGGTTTTTCCCAGCTTATCCAGGGATACAAATTACAGTTCCGAAAATATGCGCAACAGGTATCTATTGTGACCGGTAGTGCACCATGAAGCTAAAACGGTATAGGTCTGTATGTACGAAAACTAACATCTATTGATCATTGATAATGGACAGACAGTAGAAGTTTCCAATTTTGTGAGGATTAATAGTAAATACATGTGGAAGAAAAGCAAATAATGATGCCTCTAAGGCTTCCCATGATTATTAATAATGTTAATATGCCCACATATAGGATTTATTGCAAACATATTAACACACTGTCAGATAAGCAAAGCTGGTAGCAGGGGCCTTGAAAGTTCAAGACACATTTGATCATTATGTTGATCCTTAAGGATTTAGCCATGCTGCCAGCAAGGCCTCAATTGACAATTATGAAGAATTGAAATATTTAAGATTAATGAAATCACTGTTTCCAGCAGGGCCTCACCTATTCATTATGTTGATTTGAAACATTAAGGAATAATGAAATCAGTGCTTCCAGCAGGGCCTCACCTTTTCATTATGTTGATTTGAAACATTAAGGTACAATGTATAATGAAATCAGTGCTTCCAGCAGGGCCTCACCTATTCATTATGTTGATTTGAAACATTAAGGAATAATGAAATCAGTGCTTCCAGCAGAGCCTCACCTATTTATTATGTTGAATTAAATGAAAACTGAGTGCTGCCAACGATGATAAAAAAGAGTTGACATTTATGATTTTAATGAAATCAGTGCTTCCAGCTGGGCCTCACCAGATCATTATGTTGAATTGACACATAAAGGATTAATGATCTTCAGAAACATGTACCGATTAATTCCATATGCCGTATTTGATCTACCTCTTATCGGTATTTATTTACATAAACTTTGAATGCAATGGCAACACTAATTCAAAACTGTTTATTGTAACAAGTGATCATTCTCAAGGATTTTTCGTGATTTCTTTTTAAAACAAGTCATTATATATCTATAATACAATAATTTGTTTTGCTTCTTTGACAAATAAAAGGAAATTTATCAATCAATCAATCAATTAATCAAGAAAGCTTCTTCCTTTTCAGTATCTAACTGTAATTCTTATCTTCAAAATTTAAATGTGGTATATCAAGTTACAATAATCCAAACTTTAAAAATTTAGACGGAAGATGGACACCCATGGCATAGAGTGGAATAAAAAAAACAATTTAAGGACTAATTATTGCAAAATATCGTTATGATAGGATTACTTATCATATGCTTTACTCTAAAGTGCTTTACTTACGATCGACACAATTACAACTTTGTGAAGGGATTACCGGAATAAGCGCGAAAAACAAGACCACTGATCAGACTGACCTAAATATTATTAATCTTATAAACTTTTTTAGTGGGTTGGTCAGTGAAGCCGATTAGTTTTTTTTTAATTGTTTCTCTTAACGGCAGTTGCTATATACATGGTGGGGTTTAAGTTCCTGACTCACTCACACGTACAGTGACTACATCAAAGACGTGATATTGTAAATTACTACTTGTATCATTGTGTCATTGAAAAACAATAATAGCAATAAAAAAAATATGATTATATTTAGAACTAGGAAAAAAATGGATTTCATAGAATTGGAAATAAGATGAATGGACGAAATTGACGCAATTAAAAGACAAAAAGTTGCGTATTATCAATATCACAATAACTGGAAATTATTTGATTTAGATTTACAAATACTGAAATAAAATTGTGATAATTTTAATGACTCTAAGGTCTAGTTAAAAGTAATCATTGTGAATCTACAACAACAGTCTATTAAACACATCAAATTTAAATTTTTGTTATAAATCTTTTGTGACAATTTCAAGTCTTGAGAACAAACCACAATGAACGAGATACAGAAATCGGTTTTACAGCGGCACTATAAGCAGTTGTCAGATGATATTATGATGACAGAAGATCTACTGGCAACACTCTTCACTAGAAAGGTGTTTGAGAGGGGGATGATTGAAACAATAAAGGTAATGCTCTCTTTTTTAAAATCTCTATAAAATTATTTCGCTATTTATTATTTATCTCGTTTTTCAAAAAAAAAATCTCTTTGTAAAAACTGTTTTACTATGTTATATAATGTTTTGTTGTGCTTCTTTTTTTTTGTTTCAAAACTGGGGTTCATTTTGATTTGTTGTTATTTGTTTATTTAAAAAATAATCCAAATGTCATTATCATCATCATCATCATTATCATCATCATCATCATCACCATCTTCATCATCATCATCATTATTATGTACATCTTATTCTTGTTTTTGTATTTATCATTATTATGATATCATCATCATCGCCAGCCATCATAATCATCAATATTTCATAATTGAAATTTCTTATCATTTATCTAATCTTATTTTATTATTATTGATGTTTTATTCTTAATTTTATTTTATAAATACCGGTATTATTATAACATCATCACCACTCATCTACTTATTCATAATCGCAATTATCAGTTCACCTGCTTACTGAGTGAGTTACTTATTCTGACTATGCAGCCAGTGCAATCTGATCATGGTCTGCACAGAGTTAGTTATTCAGTTGGTACATATTTTATAATCTCCCTAAAATTGATGAATTAGTATAATCCAGATTGAAGATGGGCAAGTCTATTTAAGATATATATTGTGGTACCGGTTATTACATAAAAAAGCCGATGGTACATTAAAAAGATCTATATCCCTAAGTTTTGACAAATAAAATTTTAAATAAATAAACTGAATAATATAACTGCATGTAACACATTAAGATTTCATTTTAATTCCTGAATACAGTCAAACCTGTGAACAAGGTCATACAAAGGAGGGACCAAAAGTGACTTTTATAGCCAAGTGGTCTTTATTGAGGGGTTGTCTTTAACCGTTTGTTAAATTTGTTGAAGAATGGTCTTAACTTGCAGGGTGGTCTTTCTTCAGAGGTAGTGTTTAACACAGGTTTAACTGTTACTTTGAGTTTCAAATTAAGATTTGAGTTTTCTCACACTTGCTGTATCTCTTTCTTTTCTTGAATGAAAAAGGCAAAGAATACCTGACATGCAAAATAACATTAACTTACAAAAAAGTGGTATTTTTTATCTGATAAGAATTCAAATAAGGTAAATTGAGCCTGTTTAGATAAACTGCATGTAACCAAATAAAACTTCAGCTCAAACTACTTTTATGTTAAGGTGTTCAGTAAATTGCACAACACCATATGGGTTACATAAATATATAAAAAAAAAAATCAAAGTATAAGTTTAAGAAATGTATCCAGGTGAAATCGCAAAGGCTCAATTCTGGTTGAACTGATCACACCCTCTCCTCTATCCCCAATGATAACATTAAGGTCTGCAAAACTTTAATTAATTAGATAATTCAATTCATTCTAGTGGCAATTTTCATTAATACAGGCTGAGAAGACCCCAACGGACCAAGTGTACAAAATGTTATCAATGTTACCAAAACGAGGTCCCGATGCATTTGACATCTTTGTTGACATTGTAAAAGACGAGTATCCTTGGTTGGCTGCGATGCTGGAAACCAGTCTTAAAAATGAAACAGAGTCAATGCTGCAGCTGCAGCGTCAGAATTCCCTCCTAAACCTGAGATGTACGTCTGCTACAACAACATCACAGAAAATAGAAAATCAGTCTCAAGTAGATGGTAAGTGAGAAAATATTTTAAATTTCGTCTTGAGTTACTTTTTCTTCTTTTTCATTTTTCAATATAGTTACAATCTTATAATTTCAAAAGTTTGTGTACCCCCTGGATTTCCTGGGAAAAACCAAAATATTCTAAATTCTGTAGTAAGTCTATTATCAGTCTATTATCATTGGAATAGGTTGAAATGTATAAATGTATTAAATGCCCATCATTGTTTATGTATTCTTTACCAAAATAAATCTATATATTGACAATGTTTTCAGTTGATTACAATTTGTGATGGATAAGTTTTCTTAAGCATTCAGAATCTTCTCTTAGACATTTGTCATGTTTTCTTAAACATGATGTATGTTTTCTCAAACATTAACTATGTTCCCATCTAATTTGGCTACCTTGCTACCATTTCCTTTTTTTTTAAATAACAGCAAACCTTTCTCTTTTACTTTATGCAATTTATTATTCAAAGTCATGGAAATCTTAATTATACAAGTTTGTCATCTTACCATTCTGCTTAATTTATGTTTAGGAACTACACCAAGACCACTGGAAGTGAATGCTGACCCTGACATAAAGACAAAAGTGGGAACCTTTATACACAAACAGTTTGGTCAGAGCAAAAGAATCTCACAACAAGATAAGAAAATCATGGAAAAATGGTTATCTGAACAATTACAAGCAGAGAGAAAAATTAGGTAATTGTCACTTATTTAGAAAACAAAATTCAGCAGTGTTATAATGGGTTAAGTATTTTTGCCTGTAACACAGTTGCTTTTTGATTAATACTCTTTGCCCATTGAGATATTTTGTATTCTTTGAATATATAGTCAAATTAGGTAAAATTTCTTAAGTCATTTATTGTCATAGTCAAATCATTGTCAGATATTTTGCAGTTCCTTAAATATATATGCATAGTTTCCAAGACAGTCTTTCAAGCTACCTCTGCTTTTACATTAAAGTCTAGACACTGAGAGTCAAATTAAAGTTATAAAATCCATGCTATTTCAGAATCCCAAGCTTATTTGTAAGCAAAATTAATACCTAAGTACACAGGTAAAATGTTTAAGATGAATAAAATCCTAACCATGTTTGTGTTTTTTGTATTTTTTTATATTTTATAACATTTTGAGAACATAGATAGAAAATTAATCTGCAATAAAAACAGCTAATTTCCTTCTCTATATCTAGTATTAACACTTAGTTGACACAGACCAGGACTACATTATTATTAACATAAATATTGTTATTAAAAATATGACAATTGTTGACACAAGAGAAACCTTTGGCGGTGAATTGTAAAAACATGCTTAAAACAAGTACAAATAAACTTTCAAAATATGTAACTTGTCTAATATCATATCTAAATATTATGGTTATGAATTATGATAATTCCAGGGCCAAGAAAAGTTCAATTTCAACAGAGGAAGAGATGCAAGACCGAAGTGCATGTACAAGTCCTGATCCTATTCAAGGTGACTTGCAAAAGGTTTACAACAAAGTACGAGATGAAAACCTCAGTGACCTTCTAAACAGTGCACATGCTAGCAAACATTTTGAAGGTGAGAATGAATCCAAAGGCTCTGATGAAATTGATGCATCTTTTAAAAATGATACACCCATGGACATGGCAACAGTTGTAACGAAGCTTGACATGGAGATAGACAAACTGATCAACAGAATGAACCATATGGAAGGTCTTCTAACACAATGCCACTATATCCTCGGAGACCCAGACCGAAAACAAAAGCTACCAACTCTTATTAAAGACTCCCAAATGGAAGGTAAACAGTTTGAAAGAGAGCTGAATAAGGAGAAAGCTAAAACTGAAAAGATGCTTCATGAGTTATATGACTATTGTAAGTCTATCAATAAACTAGAAAATGTCAGGCAACAGCAGAGAACAAATATTGAAAAGAATAGTGAAGAAATTGAAAGACTCAAAGCCGAGAACGCTGTCCTCAGGGAGAAATGTACAATGCTTGAAACAGTCAACAACAAGCATTTGGAAAAGGAAAAGACACTTAACAACTTGAAAAAGATGGTTGATGATTTGAGAAGTAGTCACACAAATCTAGCAGATGAGAATGCCAACTATAGAATCAATTATGGAACAAATGCTCTAAGAAACAATAGAAGACTAGGAGGAAGAAATGCAGTAATTCGTCGAGGGTCAACTGTTGCTGAAACCATGACAACCACAGTCAGAAAACCAGTTACAAAACAGGTTTTAAACACAAACAGAAGGTCCAAACCTTTGAGTAGAATTTGATGAAATGTTGCATTAGGAAATTGACATCCTAAATGATTAAACTGAAAAACTGGTCTTTAATTTTTATAAAGACGAATGTTCAGAGGTGCTGTAAAGTTAGAGATAAAAGGATGAAATCTGATTCTGTATTAGAATCTTCAATATGATTATGATCTCTCTGATGGTCATAAAACTACAGGAATAATTCATTTCCTATGATGCCTTTATCACTTGAACTTCTGTGACAAATTTATAGAATTATTCAAGGGAGAGGAGGCTTCAGTGAAAAAGGTAACTACTATGTAACAAAGAGTTACCATTATGGAACAGAGAATAAACAATTAAATATTGTTATTATTTCACACTGAATCTGTGTTAATCCTGAAAGGTTGATGACATGCATTCTGACAAAGGTTCTTTAGTTATATAATAACATGACTATTCTTCCAGTTTGGACCTGTTCTTCCATGCCGTATGACAAGGGTTCTTTCGTTACGAACATGACTATTCTTCCAGTTTATATTCAAGCCTGAGCTATACTGTTTGTTGCTCAGTTTTACAAATATTACTCTGAAATCCATGTTACTACCATGTGACTTTTTCAAATTTAAAGAAAGACATGTCAGACATATCAATTCAGCAGAAACAAGGGCTACTATCTGAATGTGCTGGTCACAGCTTACTTGTTGTTTGTTTTATGGTGAAAAATGAATGGTTTTCCCATCATTTATGATTTTGTAGGTAATATCTTATTACTTTAAACATGTACAATATGCATTATTTTATAGAATTTTATCTATACAGCCAAACCACTGCATTTTCTCATTTTATGTTTTATATGATTTATGATTTGTATTGACTATAATCTCCAACATTATTTCACAGAGTTTATCAAAACATCATTTTATCTAATTTTGTAAAATAATGTTTCACTTCATTTTCAAAATTTTGACATGTATTTTCTGCATTTACAAACATATGTGTGCATTCAATCAAATGAGAAGCATGTATACTTTGTATGTTCAATTTTTTGCTTTTTGTTGCTTGTTTCATGCTTTTACAAGAGACATTAAAGTATTCTTCAAGTTTGAGTAAATTTGAGTTGGCCTTACCTTACCCACAAACACTAGGGTCTGTATTTGCTTTCTTTAACTTGAACACAGAATGAAATAGAGAAAATCATTAATCCATAAAGAACGTCTAAAGGGCAAAAAGTGAAAATGTTCTAGGCTGCATTTGATTGAGCCTGTTCATGGACGGTACTAACAGCAGAATTCAACATTAAACATGAAGGGATTAAATTTTGAATTTAGAACTTCCATAGATGTGGTCAAAGCTTGTCAAGCAATAAGCATTAGATTTAAAGGATTTAAATATGTTATAATTTACTGTTCTTGTATATTATGAGATGCTTTTCACCTTAGATGAGGTTAGACATTAGACCTAATCCTGTAAGGGAGTTATCAATAATCAAGTTACCATAAGGAAGGATGGTTCTATTCAGATAAACCGAGTCCCTGTCCCACACCTTTACCTGATTACCCCCACCCTCACACCCAACCATTTCACCCTCCTTTCCTTCCATTCATCCTTAGGAGTAAGCTTTACCATTACAGCTATAGTGGGTGGCAAAATCACCATCATAATTATATAAATCTGAATATAAGCAATTGTTAGTGTGAATAAATACTGAACAATACTTAACAAAATATAAATAGTTATAAAAGAATTAAAATATGATGTACCTTCACTACCTTGACTTAAAGGACACACAAGGTGATATTTAAGAGATAAGATATTGCTTTGTTACTAATTCATTGACACATGACAGTGCTATCTCAGGGTCAATATAGGTAAAACGTCTAATACAGGAAAGAGTATGAGGACTCTTTTTCAACATTTTTTTGTATTAACATACTATCTAAAGAAAGGTAAATATTGGAAAAATTCTGAAAGTAAAAGTGAATTGTCTCCCTTTTATCACTTTCCATATATGTTCCACTGAGGCACTTTAATTATCAATCAATCAATCAATACAAAGATAAAAATAGCAAATAAAATTTTAAATCACTATTATTAATTCTTACATAATACCTTATTCTAATTGATCACAGATAATCTGATACTTTGTCATTTTAGAAAACCATGAAAATATATAAATAGTGTGTAATCACAACTTTTCAAGTATCTGGATCAGCGTTTTGTTCATTTTTATAACGTCACACCAATACAGTATAAGTCATATGGCAACTTTCCAACTTTCTGGTTCCCCTCTGTACCTTTTTTCAGGCACAAACAGGCACCTGAGTAGAACCACTGACATTCTGTAAGCTAGCTTTCTCATGTATAGAATCCAAAGACACTTGCCCACCTCGAACCTACAGCCATGAGAGGCAAGTGGTATGTAGTTAACGACCTTCACCATTCGACCACAGTCACCTAAAGTTTTTGTTCATGATATCTTAATGTTTCTAGAAATGTGTATGTAACCATTAATATAGAGCCAAGTCACAAATCATGTCCATTATTAACAAAAATAAAGTATTATTAATTGAACAAAGACTGTAATATATTCAGATGACTATTATCAATTTATAGATTTTTTTTTTGGTTATTCACTTACAGGTAGTCATGATTAATAATCTCGCAAAGTCTTGTATTATCTTCTTAATCCTTTAAAACTTATCTTTCTTATTTAAGGCACATCTCGACAAAGTTGTATTTTTTTGAAAGCTATCAAAGCTATTGAATAATCTATTCTTTTATATATTTGAACATTGAAACAAAATTAATGCTGAAGTTTTATATAGAGCTATATATAGACTGTGGCTAGTTTCCTTTCAAATAAAAGCTATTCACTAAAAATTTATTTTTATACAGAATTGAACAGCAGAACAAATAACTTAGTATTAAAACCAGCATCCTGATTACATATTTATTTCTCTGAAAATGTAACTTTTTACTATAACATTGACATGGATCTAGGAGGGTCAATAATGGTCTTTAATATTTAGTGGTTGCTTATAAACAAAGACAAGACAAGTCTTTAAAAATTTGTAAAATATGCTAGTCATATCAATATCACCATTACTATCTTTTATGACTATACCATTATTATTATCTATATCACTTTGTTGTATAGGTTCTTCAAATTACCTTATATTAGATTACATTTTAATATTTTCTTGGTTCTTATCTTCAAAGTAACCTAAATAAACTGTTAATAAAGTTTCAATCATATATACATGTAGAACATTTCAAAATCCAATACCAATATTACCCTGACCGAAATATTCTTTATGAAAAGAAATTTTTACTGGCTTCTATTCAAAACCGATATATTGATATAATATAGATATAGTCAAAGTATATTGATACCATTATAATGGTATTATTGTCAGCTTGAATTTGATTGGCTGAAGGATTTAAATATAGATCTAAAAATAAGGCTGGTGTCATTTTTGTCATGTGGTGCCACGTCGTTACTAGTCTCCCATTAAAGGCTATTAAAAGAAATTGATTTTGATTAAAATTACTATTATGGGATCAAAACAAAAGAAACTGATAATGATGAAATTGCTGTTAAGGATCAAAGCAGTTTATTTTAATACTGTTAAAAGAATAGAAATGAAATAGAAATAATGTAGGATTTTCCAAATTAGTCTGATTAAAAAATTATATTGGTATATAACATTTTCCTTTTTTTACAAAATCATTAAAGTTAAGGTACCTTAAAATTTAATGAATCTGTTTCATATGTAAAACAATAGAGGTTTGAAACCAACATATGTGAAGATAATACCAGAGTATTTATATGGTGTCACTTGCATGGAAATTGAATAAAAAAAACAAAATTCCCCAATGAATTTGATATAAACTAATATCAATCATAAAATTGACTGTCTTCCGAGAAAAAGGACTTTGGAACGAAAGGGGAAAAAAGCACCCAACTGCATTCCTGCAGAGCTCTTCATTTCAATAGGCCCACTTTAAATATTCGATTGACGTCAATAGGTATTAAAATTATCGCCGACCTCGTAAACTTTAATCAATTATTGTTATATATGACATACTCATGTCTAAATATAGCCACAGTTTATCTCCCCTTAATACCCCATACACAGTAGTCCTGACATACCACTTATATATACACAGCCACTTGTTACCTTTATATTTATATTGTATATCTATAATTTATTGAATAGGTGCGGGTAAAGAGGGGGGGGGGTATAAAAACCAAGTATCATTATTGCCTTCAAACAATTTTTAATAAACTTATATTTTTTTATGATCAGTCAAAGGTTGAATCAATGTTATCTTATATAAAGAAAAATTCAAGGTTTTACAGATATTTTATCTCTTTTTAAATCTGAAAGAACTTAAACCATGGCACTTTTAAAGCTTTTCAATCTTGTACAAACTAAGTCCAGGTTCATGTGATGATCTCATGGGCAAGATTTGATTCCGATAACAATTTATTAAGTGAAAAATTTTCATTCCTTAATTCATACCAATTCTATTGGGATTTTTTTTTGCTCAAGTTTTACAGGTTATTTGATTCACAAATAAGAACCTGATAGGACTCATTGGATAAGCAGGCTTCGAAAATTCCACTTGTCTGCTCGTATTTACAAGTAAAGATCGAGGCAGGACAACTACAAAATTGAAGTAAACTTTGCCCATGCATTAAACCGTTAGAATTCTTATAATCAGTTTATTAATGACATTTAATGATGGAAAATTGGAAAAAAGCTTGTGTTTTAGGTTATGTATAAATAACTCTGAACCCATAGTTAATTGGAAATGGGAGTGTCTGGAATGAGCCTGAAAACGCTGTATGAACTGCACAATTTATAACATAACTTAAACCTCTCGCTTTCCATCAATCAATTGAAACAAAATGTTTAAGTCTATAGGGCTGGGGTGAGTATCCGAGTACTGGGATAATCACGAATCAAAATGAAAAATCGAGTACAAATATTCATCATTCTGCGATCTCATTTGTTTATTATACATTCGCTGTTTCTCACAATAAAATGTCCAAAAAAAATCAAATTGAATCAATATGAATTATGCGACATTTACCTAATTACAATTTACAGAGATACAAACAAGCATGTACCATGATGCTGAGCTAGGATTTAGTCATTAGTTTCAAAAAAGGAATCACTTTATCTTTATTGAGCACTATGTTTTTACATGAAAATAAATAAATATTTTTAGTCGCTTTGTATAGATTTATAATAACGTGACATGTATCAAAGACTGTTTTATTTTTAATAATCCAAAATTTGCGAAACGCAAGTTAAAAGTCACATGTTCATGTTGGCTGAAAAGGAGTCGCGCCGATATAAAATCCCACCAGCAAAATTTTTTAAATAATTGCCTTTTCATGTGAGTACCACCTGTATAAGTCATTTCACCATGGCATGTTTTAAAAACTGCTTTTTCCTCATTTTCATTGAAAATAAATTTTGCTTGTGGAATTTTATATTGGCGCGACTCATTTTCAACCTTTAAACCTAGTTTATATTTGCATTGCATATATGTTAAATGAAATTAATGTTAAGTATTGTTTTAAGAAAAATAAACATGTTTTCAAAACTAATGTCTTGATAACAAAAGATACGTGGTTCGATTTGGGAATCACAAGTGCTGAATTGTGGACCAGATCATATCGTCAATTTTCCGACGATCCACACCCCTATAAGTCTAATGCATCGGTAAAATTTATCTTAAAAATCATGCGTAAAATGAAGGATGAGTAGTACAGCATGCAGGACGAGTAGAAATTTTAAGCTACCCGTCCTGCAGAAAATATTTTTTTGATCCCTGATTAGTGGTATTTACTTTGGCCCTACATTCAAGGCTGTACAAACAAACTTTTACAGTTACAGCGTTGAAAAAAAGTACAACAGGACGACCAATTTATTATGACCGGTAGTGCACCATGAACCTGTAACAGTAAATGTTTGTTGGTACCAGGGAATTCCAGCAGCTTGGAGAAACCAACATAATTTTATGCCAAGTTCAAGACAACATATATTTGTAATTAATTACTGGTTTATAACTAGTATATTAATTATCCAGGAAAGCCAATTAAGTGGACCAACCAGTGTCAGATATGATCTAAAAAAATATGTTAAAAGCAACTTTAAAACTTAACAAACAAAACATGATCTTTGAACAAATTTTGCACCTCATTCAATACAACAGAATAGATTTAATCCACTTATGAGTCACAAAATTTATAGGAAGCTCAATTTAGTATCTGATATTTGCAACAAAAAAAAACTCTCCATTTCATATTCTATAACCTTACATTTTTAACAGTGCTTGTGGTTTTGGGCTAATATTTACCTTCGTTCTAAAATCATTTAGACAGTTCTTTGCTTATTCAAACTTGGTTTTGCATTAAATGTAAATTTTGTAAAGAGTAAATAAAGATGGTTTGTAGTACCTAAATACAGTTTTAATTGCATTTTGACAAGTGTATTGTAATGAAGAATGAGCAAAATGTACAGGTCTTAAGCAGTACAACATTAAAAAACTTTGGGCCTATTCTTAACCCTTATGATAAAATTTTATCTTACATAATTTTACTTATCCGATTTTCAATCTGAACAAAACTGTTTGTCATTTATTCAAGGGGAAATTTCAAAATATGTATTGAGGGAAAAGCGAACAGTGAAGACCATGATCCGAATGCCAGGATGTGCTGACTGAACCAGGTTTTCACTGATCACATGGGTAGTTTCTGTGCCATAAACAGACAACCGATTAAGGGTGTGAAAAAGAAGTTGAAAGTTCCTGTTAAATTGAAGGAAAATCCCTTGATTGATAAATAAAAAAAAGTGCACAGTTTATATTCTTGGACAATTTCCAGAACTGTACCATATAGGAAGTATATGACCTCTCTATAAAAGACCAATGATTCCCATCTTCAAAGGGTGGCCTTAATTAGCAAGTTATACTTTATTTGCTAAAGGTGGATTAAAAGTTCAATACCATACAATATAACAGCTTTGAAATATTGAAATACCGAATAAGAAGAATGTATGTCCCATATTAAAATGACCATCAATAGTCGAACACTTGGACAGGGTCCAGAATACTTATGCTATGTAAACTTACAAAAATCGAACAACCTGCGATTTAAATTGATCAAAACTGTCTAGATTAAAATGTCCTTATGAACATTAAAGAACGTTGAATACCTGAAGCAAATATTATCACTTATTGGCAATTTTTAAGAGTCGTAAAATAAACACCGTTATAGATAAAAGATACGTATAAATGCCTCCTGGAGATCTGGCATACATGATGTCCGAGATATTCCATATTATGCTTTACGGTCACTCCTGAATTAATTTATAGCAATGTCACAGTGAACAAATTAAATTTATTTCCCCATTAAAAAAGTAGAAGCTAGGGCACTGATCGTTTTAAGTATACAATCATAATTATATCTATAACTTAAATAATAAGTCAAAATGTTTAGAGAGATAACCTTATTTCAATTCTTTTGTATGTATTTTTTATTAAAAAAAAAACAACAACAAACATTAAACATACTATTATAAATATTACAGATATCTTTGTTTTATCTTTGACTTTTACTAAAAGTAAACATATACTGACCACATGCTGTCACCATTGGTCAATCTCAAATGGTAAATCAACCAATGAGATAATAGAGTTTTTGAAATGTGACCTTTGAATAATACTTAATGCTTGTACTTTTATATGAAAGGAGGCACAGCTTATGAATGGGAAAGTCAAATAAAAAACTTTCATTCTTTTATTATTTTACATTTTTTTGTTTTAAAGGTGTCATTCCAGATTTCATCCACTGCTTCCGTTTTCAAGGAACACCTCAACGATTATTCTTATGCCGAAAAGGTGTGACTGTTCCGTTATCGGAATACCCGACCGATTATCATTGAGTTACATTAAAAATAGCTGCACCTAACTAAAGATGACACTGATAATTTCAGTGATAAGAATAGAAATCAATGTATTTTTTAATTGCATTTTATTTAATTATCTTTTAAATTTGTCTATAGCCAGGCAAGCTAAAACCTGGGCTCGCTTTATGGTCTCGGCCTTTGACTTCCCCATATTAATTTAAATTTAAAGGTCCAGATACTGAATCAATATTTCACTGGCTAGCATCTCATCATACAATCACCAAACCAGACTCCCCCACCCCAAATACAACAAATGTTGTACGGAGGGTAGACTGGTTATTAAGGCTGTCCCAAAGTCCGGCTGTCTGGCCATGCTGCTGTCTGGTTGCCTGGTTGTCTGTCAGAGCTCAATCTCTTAAACTGCTCAACTAATTTAATAAAACTTGATAGAAATAATTGTCATGTCTGTCATCATGCTTTACTTGCACATACCATTTATCTTGTATTTTGTTCACATGAATGACCTTAACCATATTCATTAAAATGAATGACCTTAACCATATTCATTAAAATGAATGACCTTAACCATATTCATAAAAATTTGCTGAAATTGACCAAATATTATCAATAAATGTATTGTATTCACCTGCCACATTACATTCCTTTTTTTAAACAATAACTACTGTAGAGTGTTTAAGTAGGCCAAACTCAACTTGACCTTGACCTTCATATGATGTTTACCTTTATGATTAAATGTCTGAATTCTGCTGACATTGTCCATAAATTTGCTATTTATAAATAAATTTAATTCATACTTTGAAAAACAAAACAATATATAGCATAAAGTTGTCATGTTTATTAACTCAAACTTGGCCTTGACTTTAAATGGTCTTGACCTTTAAGGTCAAATATTGAATTTTGCTAAAATTGGCAATAACTTTGTTAATATTTGATATTTTGAGTTTATTCTTGGGCAAAACAATCATTTAGTAAATACCTTCAAGAAGGTCAAGCTGAATGTGACCTTGACTTTTAAATAACCTTGGCATTCATGATTAAATTATTGATTTTTTCTTATGGCCTTTTTTATTTATGGACAGATTTGATTAATACCAGGACAAACACAACTGTCATGTCAACAAATTGTGTTGATCTTGTACTGCAACTGACCTTAAAATAACCTTTACAGTTAATGCAAAATCATTTAACTTTGCTTAAGTTGCCATAATTGTGTTATCAAAACACTGATGTTTTTAAAATTTGACTTATCACCAACTAGGATAAATTACTGTCAAGTGAAGCAATCAAATTATCACTTTGATCTTTATGTGACCTTGACCTGCAAAGTAAAATTATCAAATTTTCATTAAATTTGCAAAGATTTTGGTATGAAAGAATGGGTATGCTTCATATTTAGATATAACAAAACTTTGGACAAAACTTTCAATGTGATGTAGCTCAGGTATGGCCTTGACCTTAAATTGTCCTTGACCCTCAACTCCAAGACATGATGAATTATTTGAATTATGTAACTTAATTAAAGTAATTTATGCACAGATATGATTATTATTTGGACCCAATGATTGTATGATACCACTTGAAGTATGATTTAAAACTTTAAATGAGATCTTTAAAGTCTATTTCTAATTCAAATATGACCTTGACCTATGACAGACTTTTGACAGGGACAAGTGCAGAAAAAGATCAGCTGGTACATTTGTGCCAATTACACTTAAAATGTACACCAATTATAATACTTGAAATTTACACCAATTATACTGATAAACACCCAAGGTTAAAAGTTAAACAAATAATGTTTAAATTTACTACAAGACATCAACAAAGCTTAAACTAACTGTGATTGAACCATAAATAGAAGTTAATTGACAGAACTAGTAATATTACAAAGACATAAAGAAATACAATACTTTCTAATCATTATTTCAATTGATTTGTTGCATAAAATTAACAGTACCATTGTTTGAACGAACAGCTTTTCAAAACAAATAATGGGCTAGATAAGAGCATTATGATTTCGGATCAAATATTTTCGCGACAAAGGGTTCTTTAGTGCCCTAATAATCGATCAGTGGTTGCCGATTGGAGATAAAGTATAGTATATGGTACTGGGTTTTAAAATCTTTTGGCAAGGATTGAATAGAGATTATAGATTGTATTATTTGAGTGTTATGCTAAGATATGCGGCTTTTAATAATTTCAGTCAGTGTCGATCGTGGGTCAGGCAGTAGCGAACTGTTTGGAATAGGTCTTAAAAACGGTAGTTAAATTAATTGTGTAACTGACAACTCAATTTTACATTAATAAGCTACAAACGTTTTTTCTTAAATTAGGCATTAGTTAGACCTATAGAGTTTAGTTTCACTACAGTCATCATTGGAATAAAAATTACATCAGATTTTCTTTCTCACATTATTGGGATTTATACCATAAGGAAGACAATTAAAATTGATTTAATAAAAGAATTAAAAGGAACATCTGTTAAAAATTTATTACATTGTCAGTGTATTAGAAGAAGAGAACACAGAACAAAATATCAAGACATTAAGAAAAGAAGAAAAACAAAAGGAATAATTACACATAATGAATTAAGAATATAATTGATATCCTTAGGAAAAAAACACAGAAAAAAACATAGAAGATGAACAAATCACAAAAGCGTACGCTACAGAAACACAACCCTGAACTGGTCCATGATCTAGAATTGAGCGCCGATCTTGTAGCCAAATTCATACACCATGGACTCTTTAACGAGGACATGATTGATGATATTAAGGTAGGAACTATTTTTTTATTTACATAATTTTTGTTGCTGTTTTTTTTGTAATTTTTTCATTATTGTTTTTTAAGTTTTTGTTTTTGTTTAGGGTTTTTTGTGAGTATTTTTGGTCAGTTTAGAAAACATTATCTCACTTACAAACTTTTACAGATTTAAACAAGAACACAGACTTTTCTCTCTCTTTTTCCATGAATTTCTTATGGCATATGTAGGATTCAATCACTGAAGAAAAAAAATATAAAGACCTTAAATTTTAAATATTAAAATGGCAGTTTTTTAAGTATTTCAAAAAAGTATTTAATTATTCTCTTAAATTCATAATTTTAATACCCTTTTTTTGAATTACTCTATGAAACCTAAATGGCAGATGTACATTCTCTTAATATGAACATTTTCGCAAAATTTTTCTTCCCCGTATAGTTATCAATTGAGTGGTCATTCCAATAATGTACTTTTAGAGTTGAAATTGAAAGTGCCTATTTCTTAGTGATAATTTTATCAATTTGTTGACAAAAAAAATATTACTCTTATCCTTACACTTTGATTCAACTTCTAAATTGTCATATAAATATAAGTCATGACTTACAGAAAACTGTAAAAGTAACTGTCCAAAGGTATAGTTACCAGTATACTGTTTAGTTTAGTATCATCGAGAAAATGAAATATATTTCGAATGACAAGATATAAAAATTTGTTAAGAGTAGTGAAAGTATCATGAATTGGTAACTTGGTATCATTAAAAGTATTGGTGAGTGTATTGGTATCATACCATTTCCTTAATTCTTAATGATATCTGCATTTCGAAGTATCATATAAATTGAAGACTTTTAAGCATTATTATTTCAATGAGTCGTTCTTATTTTTCCTTAAGCCATGTGGTCAAATATAGTTTTGATTTCCAGAGTAACTGACTCACTTTCAGAACCTTGAATTACAAAATTAACAAATAAAGCTTTCAAACTTTTAAGTCACCTCAGATTGTTTATTATTTTCATCAGAAAAAGGAAATTTAACTTTTAAGATTATCTTATAATTCAATTCAGTACCAAAAATGAATTACGAACTATATTTAATTCTACATTTCATTCATTTACTTTACAAAGAACCAAAACAACAATTTTTAAAATCATTAATTCGATTTCAAAATCCTGTTTGTTCATATGCCAAATAAAAATGAAACAAGAGGGCCATGATGGCCCTAGATCGCTCACCTGAATTATCAAACTCATCCAAACAATTACCTAGACAAGCATTCTGACCAAGTCTCATGACAGGTGAGTCAAAAATGTGACCACTACAGTGTTAACAAGGATTATCGCATATTTGAGCAGTGCGACCTAGTTTTTTTACCCAGGTGACACATATTCAAACTTGACCTAGAAATCATCAAAACAAACTTTCAGACCAATTTCCAGGATACTAATGGATCAAAACAGTAGCAACTAGAGTGTTTAACAAGATTTTTCTATTTTTAGCTCCGGTGACCTAGTTTCACATGCGATTTCGAACTCATCCAAGCAATTACCTAGACAAGCATTCTGACCAAGTTTGATGATAATTGGAGTCGAAAATGTGACGCACTAGAATGTTAACAAGGTTTTTTCCATATTTGGGCAGTGTGACCTAGTTTTTCATCCAAGATGACCCATGTTCGATCTTGACTTAGAAATCATCAAAAACAAACTTTCAGACCAATTAACAGAATATTTGGATCACAACAGTAGCCACTAGAGTGTTAACAAGATTTTTTCTATTTTTAGCTCTGTGACCTAGTTTTTCATCCGAGATGTCCCATGTTCGATTTATTCCCAGCAATGACGCTAGACAAGTTTCCTGACCAAGTTTGATGACAATTGAGTCAAAATTGTGACCACTAGAGTGTTAACAAGGTTTTTCTATTTTTAGCTCCTGTGACCTAGTTTTTCATCCGAGATGACCCATGTTCGAACTCATCCGAGTTATTACCTAGACAAGCATCTTGATCAAGTTTGATGATGATTGATGCAAAAAATGTGACCGCGCTAAAGTGTTAACAAGGTTTTTCTATTTTTAGCTCCGGTGACCTACTTTTTCATCCGAGATGACCCATGTTCGAACTCATCCAAGCTATTAACTAGATAAGCATCCTGACCAAGTTTGATGATGATTGATGCAAAAATGTGACCGCTAGAGTGTTAACAAGGTTTTTCTATTTATAGCTCCGGTGACCTAGTTTTTCATCCGAGATGACCCATATTCGAACTCATCCGAGCTATTATCTAAACAAGCATCCTGACAAAGTTTGATGATGATTGGGTCAAAAATGTGACCACTAGAGTGGTCACAAGGTTTTTCTATTTTTAGCTCCTGTGACCTAGTTTTTCATCAGAGATGACCCATGTTCGAACTCATCCAAGCAATTGACTAGACAAGCATTCTGACCAAGTTTGATGATGATTGGTTCAAAAATGTGACCACTAGAGTGTTCACAAGGTTTTTCTATTTATAGCTCCTGTGACCTACTTTTTCATCCGAGATGACCCATGTTCGAACTCATCCGAGCTATCACCTAGACAAACATCCTGACCAAGTTTGATGAAGATTGGGTCAAAAATGTGACCTCTAGAGTGTTCACAAGGTTTTTCTATTTTTAGCTCTTGTGACCTAGTTTTTCATCTGAGATGACCCATGTTCGAACTCATCCGAGCTTTCAACTAGATAAGCATCCTGACCAAGTTTGATGATGATTGAGGCAAAAATGCGACCGCTAGAGTGTTCACAAGCAATTGTGGACGGCCGGACGGACGACGGACGACGGACATTCATCGATCCTAAAAGCTCACCCTGAGCAAGCTCAGGTGAGCTAAAAATAAATGATTTTAAATGGCTATTTGGTAAACAAACTTCGGTTTCAATTGCCAAAACTCACAAAAGCTTCAGATAAGAACAGACCAAATAAACCATTTAAATTGACTGGTTCTTTTATAAACTTAGAAGCCTGCACTTCACTAAAACAAATAAAATAAACCTCAACTAATTGATAAAATGTTATCACAGAATGTTATCACAGAAGGTTATCATGCCTGAAATTCATTTTGTTTTGCTCTTAAATTTCAGTCTGAGAGGACAAGAAAGGACAAAATACAAAAACTTCTCTCTCAGCTGCCAAGAAGAGGTCCACGTGCATTTGATATGTTCGTGCACTCAATTCAAGACAATTACCCATGGTTAGCAGATTCTCTACGCAAAACTCATCACAAAATCAGCATGAAATCAGGTATGTTGATTCAAATCACTTTCAATTATGATGATGATAATAACAAATATTCTATTTAACCTCTTTATCCACCCAAACTCCTCACAGTGGTTACTTCCATTTATAAGTACCCTATGCCAAAGAATTAAGGCGAGATCACTGTGTGGAGATTGGGATTGCACTGGTTGCATAGGTAGATTCAGTCACCGGCATCAGGTTAATGGTTAAAGAGGTAACACAGTTAGGCATGCCCAGTCTTCCCGATTAGGCTTTATCAAATTAACAATAGTATAGAGTAACAAACAAAAGATTTGATAAACATAATTTTTTTTTAAAGAGATGCCATACACAAAGTAATTTTTAATTTTTATTTTTATTAAGTTATCCTAGAAATTAGTGGCTTCACAACTCAAGGATCATGGGTTTGTGTCTACTGGGATCTGATAAACTCATAGAAAATTAAATAGTTAATAAAGGAGGCTGAATCCCAAATGATTCCACTAAAATTCACCGTAACCTTTATCATGCTAAAATAAAAATACGGTAACTTAAATTTAAATAACTAAAACATTCAACTTTTTCATGGAGATCTGAGACAGAGATTTCATTAAAAAAATGTGAACTTTAATGACCTTTATGACTATATTTTTACCTGTCAAATTTGTATTGGACAAGAAATGATTCACTTTTGAGTTATGAAATAACTTTAATCTTTGATCTCCGTAATTGGGCCTTTCTAATTACCCAATATAATGTGCCCGAAACTTAAACACAATAGTGTGAACGACTTAATCTCTATTTTCCGCTCATGTATACACGTACCACTATTACTATAACTATTATCATTATTATTATGAGATATAAGCTTCAATTTTTTTTTTTTCAATTATACCAAAAATAAATAAAATATAAGCAAGGAAAATTGTTTCACTAAAATACAAATATCATTTTTTATTTTTGTTGTTTTTGAAAAGATTTTTTTTTTGTCTCAAATTTCATAGAATTTTTTTTCTATTATTCCATAAATAAAATATCAATTAAGGAAAAATTGCATGTTTCACTAAATTACAAATATCTTATTTTTCTTTGTTGTTTTTTGAAAAGATGTTTTTCTCTATCTCTAAAATTTCATAGACTCAAGGTGAGATTTAAAATCCTGTGATATTATATTCAATAAAGAAAAATTATTGTCAGTGTCATTTGCCATTTAAATTTAAAACCCATACAAAACATGTCTCCTGGCTGTTCAAATCTATTCAATATTTACATTTACATAAACAGCCGGTGTCATGAATGTAGAAATACATTGAAGGGTAAACAGTAACCCCCAATTTACGTCAATATGTTCAATATTACATCAAACAACCTATATAAACCTATTAATGTCAACTTTCAATGGAGATATAAGCTCAATATTAAATTTAGTCATAGCCACATAATAGTGACAAGGCTTTAGAAAGGTTTAATTTCAATCATTCAAATGAATGACTACATTTCCAAATCTAAGCTGATCAAATCTGTATTAAAACTTTGAAAGAATATAAGGGATTGAAGGCTTAAAATTTTAGCTGAATTGCATCACAAGAATTTCTTTTCCTTGGCTTACACCCCCAAAAAAGTACAAAACAAAAGATCAATCTCAGACAAATTAATTTCCATCAATATTTAAAAAAAAAATTTTTTATTCCATGCCCTGTATACACTTCAAGAATAATACTCAAACACTTATTCGAGGAAACATATTAACCTGTTCAATCATATTGTTAACAGTATAACTAATGTTAATCAGATTAATTGCACATTTTTTTCCCTCTCTTCCAGAGCCTGAACTGATGAGCCTGAAAGAGAAGGTTGACATATATGTGCATGAACATTTTGGTAACAGTAGAAGACTATGCGAAGAAGACAAGAAAGAGATCAGGAAATTCCTGTATAAACACCTTAAAAGTCACGCTGAGGAGCCTATAGACAATGGAAATGATCGAAGAGACAGTATTCAGAGTGATATCAGTGAAGACATTAAAGCACTCCAAGAATCACACAAAAACCAAACACAGTTAAATGAAAAAGATATAGAAAATCAAGTGCTCCAGCGGGTGTATTCAATTCTAAATGGTGTTAAATTAGATGAGATAAATGATGGTTTCGAGGATCTAGATTGTGTTGATGGTCCATGTATCACGTTAGAAACAATTGAAAAGAAAGTTAATCAAATGAATAGACAAGTGAAAGACCTTCAAAATGAAATTGCAGATTGTTTTAGTGTACTTGGACTAGAGAATTGTGAATATACATTATACGAAGTTCTTGAGGCATACAAAGAGAAAACAGATGGTGAAATGAAAGAAATGAGAGACAGAGTGGAAGCACTTGATAGAAGAAGGCGAAAACTTGAAGAAAAACTAAAAACAAAAGAAAAAGAACTTCACAATTGTATGAATGAACTTGCAACTTCAGAGCATGAGAATGAAAAATCAAAAGTGCTACTTAAAGAACTGCAATCAAAATGTGATAAACTTGAGCAAATACAGGAGAAACACTTAGAAACACATAAGACATATCTGAAAAAAATAGTTCACGAGTTAACGCCAATGCAGAGACAAAGCCGCGAGACATTTCGAATGCAAAGTGTGTATGATGAAGTTGATGGCAACATTGTTCCACTTCCAAATCTAGGTCAATCACGTGCCTCGCGCACAGTTAGACAATCAAGGAAAAGTGGATACCGTGAAAGGTCTAGTTCAAACCATCATTCCCTACCAAAGCTTCAAAATCAGAACTCTAGTTCACCTTGGAAGTATTGACCTCTTTTAAATTTGCCTGAAATGGTAATTTATATAGGTCAATCAAAAGTGCCAAGATGTTTTCTTACAAATATTCAAGACAAGAATAAAATTAAACAAACCTAATTCCAATTTCAGAAATCAGTTGATCATACTATAGATCCAAAGTATTAAAATTGTCATAGAAATAAGTAAATAAATTGACATATTACATGTATCAGCAAAAAAAAAAGAAATAAAGAAAATATAGGTATATAGTATTACATGTCAAACTGATGACAGTAAGATTGAAAATATGGATGAGTTTGATAATGACATGGGAAATGAATTAAATGGATCGTAAATGTGACTGATTGATTGATTGATGATTGATTGATTGATTGATTAAATAAATGGCTTAATTATGTATTATTCTGTGATATAATAACAAACTCTGTGATTATAGTTATGTGCTAAAGTATTAGGTTATAACAGTATTTTTTTAAGGTCAGGATAAAAAAGGTAATTTTGGTGCCAGAAGTATTTTTTTTTTATATCTTTTTTAAATATTTTTGCTTCTTCCATTTTTTATATTTGGTAAAATCTCTGTGATACAATAATATAGATATATTTATAAAGTATGTTTGTTTAATTTTGGAGATACATGATAAAATTGTTTGATTGTTGACTTATGTTGTTATGAATAGTTTATATTTTGTTAAGTTTGTTAATTATTTATGTTTTTTTGGGGCCATAATAAATGGATTATTAATGGATTTCAGCATTTTTTTCCAAAACATAATACTTAAAAATATTGCTTCTGATTAAATCATTGGATTAATTTTGGAAATTAGTATGTACTAATGTTATATACTATATCATGTACTAATGTTATACTGATATATTAGGTGAATAGCTTTAAAGATCATTTTTTTTAAATCTATTTATCAATAATTATTGATTGATTAATTTATTGATTGATTGATTGATTGATTGATTGATTGACAATCTTATTTACTGACTGAAAATCTGAGACTTATTTATTTATTGTGGCCCAGTAGTGTTTTTTAATTCCAAGGAAAATAACAACATCTGAATGTGTTATTTTGTTGTGCCAATTATTTTAAAGAAAAAATTGCAAACTAATATACATAAAGTTTTAAGACTGTTTAGTTTTTTTAAAAAAGCATCACTTTCAATTTATTGAAATAGGTTAAACCCATTCTATATTTACAAAATTAAATGTAAATTTTAAATTTTATTATTGTCATAAAAGTTGTACATTTTTCCGTTTGTTTAACCTTGGCAAACCAGTGAGTGGGTATCAAAAAGTACAAGGATTTTAGTTTAGTTTATATTTAACCAAGATTATAGGTGACAGACCATCCAATAATGGTCATAAAATGTAGACAGAATGACTAAATAAAACTTTGTAACTGAGAAAAAATCCACCAATAACTTTAAGAGCTAAAAACATTCTATTCTAATAAAATTTTTGCTATGACTTTTTAAAACATGATCAAACATTTCCTACATTTTTTTTTACATTTTTTAACATTAAACATTCTCTTATTGGTTCTGACTTAATATTTATAAACACTAAGTCTGGATAAAAAATATTTTTTTATATTTTTAATAATAATATTCTTATTAATGCATTTAACCGCTATGCAGATCTTAATTTGAGAAGGGTAAAACATCAAAACTTTAAACATAAAACTACCTTAAAAGATTTAGAAAGTCATGAATATTTATTTTTTGGAAGTCAACTTTTTATAGACATATAAAAATTGTTGCCACTAACATTCCACTTTTTTTCTATGTTCACTGTTAAAAATAGTGCACAAGATGATATGGAACAAAATCATCTAAAATCAGCACCCATTAGTGCCAAAATTAATGGTGTAAATTATTTTTTTATCACTACTATCATTAAATCAAATCACCTCATGTTCATCCATGTTTTTTCATCATTACTCTATTAATTTATTTTTTAACTATTTTTTCGTTTCCTTTTTTGGTGGGGAAAGGTGAGGACAATAATCTGTTTCCATCCAACAAATAACAGTGGGGGAGGGGGGGTCATAATTTTTTTCACTTGTTTTTTGTTGGTTTTTTTTACAAATATTTTGATGATTTTTCCTATCAAATAAATACATTTAAGCAAAATCAACTTCCTTTGAAAAAAACTGTGTCCAATAATCCATTAAAGAATTTGATTTACTCCCAATAACTACTAACCACAAAGACTTATCCCCATCTTTTGATCTGAACAAAACCATTCATTATTCTAGGAAAACTTTCAAAATATTTACTGACTGAATAGCAAACAGTGCAGTCCATGTTCAGATGGTGTGCCAGCTGAGCTTGGATCTGTACTGGTTCCCAGCATGAGTAGAATCAGATGCCACTCGAAATATCATAAATTATGTTCTTAAAAATAACAACAAGAATCTAACAAATTCAAAATGACAAAATTCAATCAAATTGCTTTTGAAGAACCTGTTTTTTTTTTATTCTGCCATTCACTTCATTACAACCTGACCATTTTTATCTTTTAAACAGAATCATTACATCTAGCTAGTGTGATCTTCAAGTTCTATTATTTTGCTGTTCTGTCTTCTGTGTGTTTCATTCTTTAAATCAGAAATAATTTATTTCATTTTCATCTTGCTACCCTTTTTGTTATCAGGAATCTTATTTGACATTGTTCATTTTTCCTGTCAAAAAGATAATTGAGGCTGGTGGGAGAAAAATGTTTGTCAGACAGTTTCTGTAGAATATCAATTGATCTACACATTTTCGCAAATTTCGAAGTAGTCAAAGTTTAACCCTATAGATTGTGTTTTTGTGTGATAGATTTCTCCAGTATAATGAATATAAGACAGTCCCTTTATGAGACAGTCCCTTTTTCAGGTATTATGAACATAGGTTAGTCCCTATGTCTGGTATTATGGATATGGGACAGTCCTTTTGTCAAGTATCATGGATATGGGACAGTCAGTTTGTCAAGTATTACGGATATGGGACAATCCCTTTGTCCAGGTATTATGTATATGGGACAGTCCCTTTGTCCAGATATTATGATAATAATGGTTCCCCTTTCCTTTATTGATATCAGTTCGGCTAATGGGACATTCCCTTTGTCAGGTATCCTTGAGTTCTGTCAGACTGCAGGGAAATATGCTGAGAGTTTGTTTAAGAGATGATTGAGCTAACTTTGAAAAACAACAAAAAAACATGACATCAAAAGATGTTCACATTGTATTTTTTTTTTGTTCCCATAGTTTTCTATTTCTATTTTTTTTTTTCAAGAACTAAACAAAATTTTAATATCTTTAACTAGTAACTATGTCAATTGAGAAAAGGAATAAATGACATTAAAAGTTAGTTCCTCATGCCAATAGTGATATGTAAGCACTCAAACAAAAGGGTTAAACTTTACATTATGATAGTTAAGTGTAGATATATATGGATATTTATTATGCTTGAAGAGATCTCATGATTTGAGTAACACAACTACTACAACTTTTCTATCTATTGTGTGAAAAAAGAATTAAAAAATCCTGTTAAAAAGAATGTTGTTTGTTTTCATTGAAAATCCTCTATCAGCTGTCCTTGGAATTATTAATGAATGTTCATCAGCTGTCCTTGGAATTATAAATGAAAGTTCATAATCTGTCATTCATCAGCTATCCTCGAAATTATAATGTTCATCAGCTGTCCTTGGAATCATAAATGAATGTTCATAATCAGCTGTCCTTGGAATTATAATGTTCATCAGCTGTCCTTGGAATTATTAATGAATGTTCATAAACTGTCCTTGGAATTATAAATAATTGTTCATCAGCTGTCCTTAAACTTATAATGTTCATAAGCTGTCATTGAAATTATAATGTTTATGAGCTGTCCTTGGAATTATAAATGAATGTTCATCGGCTGTCCTTGAAATTATAATGTTCATCAGCTGTATATGGTATTATAAATGAATGTTAATCAGCTGTCCTTGAAATTGTAATGTTGTTCAGCTGTCCTTGAAATCATAATGTTCATCAGCTGTCCTTGTAGTTATAAATGAATGTTCATAATCTGTCCTTGGAATAATTATGTTCATCAGCTGTCCTTGTAATCATAAATGAATGTTTATAATATGTCCTTGAAATTATAATGTTCACCAGCTGTCCTTGGAATTATAAATGAATGTTGATATCTATTGAAATACTTTGGTGTTGATATAAGTGCAGTTGATGCTTGTCAAATAATAAATGACTACATTTAGGAAGTCATTATGAATGTGTCAGACTGAAACTAGAAGAATCACTAAATGTGACTGCTTCGGAAATGAGGATGTTACTAGTAACAGAATACCTTGTAAAGAATTGAAACAGAGTTATGGTTGTGGGCAATTAAAGATAGTTGTGGCTCTTGTATGTTGCATTTCCTTTCAATGTGGTTGGCCATTGATGAAGTTTTATTGGATTACTCTGTAAGAAGTCCAGAAAGACAAGGAAAAGGAACAAAGAGCAATAACTCTATAAATACTGAAGATTGATTTATGGCTATTGTACACTGCACTTCCTCTCATTGGCACTTGACCATAGTTATGAAGTTGTATTGAATTCCAACTACTTAGTTTTCAAGTTATGCACTGGACAAAAAAGTAACAAAAGCAATAACTGTAATTAGTCCAATAGAGTTTTATTGTTCTTGTGCACTGCACTTCATCTCACTGCCCTTGAACCATTGTATAAAGTTTCATTGAATTCCAACCATTAATTTTCAAATTATGCACTGGACAATAAAAAGTAACAAAGGGCAAAAAACTTTTAAATTAGTCAAAAAAGAGTTATGCTTTCTGTGCACTTGCACTTCCTCTCAATATACTTGATCATAGTATGAAAATAGTTTTGAATTCCAACTAGTAGTTTTCAAGTTATGCTCTGGACAAGGAAAAGTAACATAGGACAGTAACTCTGTAATTAGTCAAAATGGAGTTATGGTTTTCTTGTGCACTGCACTTTCTTCTTATTGTGCTTGACCATTGTATGAAGTTTTTTAAATTCCCAACCAGTATGTTTTAAGTTATGCTCCAGACAAGGAAAAGTATCAAAGGGCAATAACTCTGTTAATTTGTCAAAATGGAGTTATAGTTCTTGTGCAACTGCATTTCCTCTTTAATGTGCTTGACAACTGCAATGAAGTTGTATTGAATTCCAACCATAGTAGTTTTCAAAAAGTTATGCTCCAGACAAGGAAAAGTAACAAAGGGGCAATAACTCTGTCATTAGTCAAGATGGAGTTATGGTTCTCATTGCACTGACTTCCTCTCAATGTGCTTGAACCATTGTATGAAGTTATATTGAATTCCAACAAGTAGTCTTCAAGTTATGCTCCGGACAAAAAAAAAGCAATCGAAAATATTAAAGGGCAATAACTCTGTAATTAGTCAAAATGGAGTTATGGGTTCTGTGCATGGCACTTTCCCTTATTGTGCTTGGCCATTGTATGAAGTTGTTTTGAATTCCAACCAGTAGTTTTCAAGTTATCTTCCGGACAAGGAAAAGTAACAAAGGGCAGTAACTCTGTAATTAGTTAAAATGGAGTTATGGTTCTTGTACACTGCACTTCCTCTCAATGTGCTTAACAATTGTATTAAGTTATATTGAATTCCAACTATTAGTCTTCAAGTTATAGTCCGGAAAAAAGAAAGCAATGGAAAAATAACAAAGGGCAATAACTCTGTTATTACTTTAAATAGAGTTATGGTTCTTGTGCACTGCACTTCCTCTCAATGTGCTTGACCATTGTTTGATGTTATATTGAATTCCAACCATTAGTCTTCAAGTTATGCTCCGGACAAGGAAAATGCAACGGACCGCTGGACTGACCGACCAACCGACCGACCACCGGGTGACTCCTATATACCCCCCAAACTTAGTTTTTTGGGGGTATAATTAATGTATTTTAATTAAATATTCACTTGTGTTTTTCAATTTTACGCAGATTTTAATTTTTAACAAATTGTTGGCGATATTTCGACAGTCGGACCTTTTGTGGTAAAGGTCCATAATGACCTTTTGACCTTAAAACCAATGGAAAGGGTGAAAGACAATACCAATCTTACCGCCTAATCTGATGATGTTGGCAAGGTCAATATTCTACAGGAAATGATGCGGCAAGTTTTTTATTGTCAAGATCACAACAGACCTTTTACCTGTTGACCTCAAAATTAAAAGGATAAACTACTTATCACCAATCCCCCTAACTGAATCTGATGATCTTTTTTTGGTTAAGACCACTATGGCCATCATGACCTTGACCTATGACCCTGGTTCGTTACCTTAAAATAAAAAAGGATCCCAAGCTGTATGGGCTTACACCCCATTGATGCAACCTGCTGTTTCCTAGAGTAAGAAACTAAAATTTCACTCATTGTTTAGTAATGGCTGGTTCCAGGTACAGATTTGAGAGCATGTCTTTAAGCTTATACTTTCATACACAATCAAATGATCAATAAATAAATTCTGTATAAACTAAAATAAAATGGGCAGATCATAACAATCTTTCCAACAAATCAAAGGACATGTACAAAGTCACAGTTCCATATTTATTGATCAAACAAGGTCATAATGACAAGCAAAAAAAAGTGTATCAGTAATTTAAGCCATTATCACTTAACATTACCCAAGCAGAAAAATACCCGTTGGTAATAAAACAAGCTTGAAAAGTTGTGGTGCCTATAGATACAGGTAAATAAAACCACCGCCCTGGACTTGGCAATCATAGCAAAAGACCTGTGAAAATAAACCTCTTCAAACAATTAGTTTTATTCAATCTTGAACTGACCTGAAATTGAAATAGTTCAATGCCAGACTGTGGTTATTTTAACTTTGCTTAGGTCTTTTTAACATGAAAATGAAATATAATACGGCCTCACAGAGTACCACCTAGTTGCAAGTGAACATATTAAACTCTCTAAAACAATAACAATACATTAAGAACTCATTAAGCATGTCCGTTACAAATGACGTTTTGATTATATCAGCCCTGAATTTAAGATTGCATTACATGTAGGCGAAACGAAAATGATTATTCCCCATTTGTGAATGATCTGCTTTTGTTTAAAACAAAGTTGGCTGATTTTTCTTATTCAGTCATTATTTAAGAATAACTGCCACACAGTTGTAACAAAGTCTTTAAATTAATTTAATTAGTATAGTTCTAAGTTCACCAAAGATCATATGCAAATGAGGCACAGACTAATTGTGTTTCTTTAGACTGTAATTGTTTTAACATATATATTTGGAATGTACGTCATCACCAATTTACATATAATTTTTTTGTTATTTCAATAGTGTTATGAAATAATACAATATATTTCAAGCTAAAACAGTGAACATTGCTTCTAGGAAAAGGAACAGTCATTAAAAACAAAACTGGACTTTATAATTTTGAAAAAAAAAAAGTTTTTTTTTCTTCATTTAAATTATTTAATCATTTTCTAAGATTAAATCAAAAAATATATCTGCCATGGAGAATGATATATTTTACATAGCAAGTGTGACCAAAAAAGTCAGAACATAACATAATTAGAACAGTTAAATAAGCAGGCCAAAACAGGACATTGGTGTAATTAGTGGGTTTATTTTAAACAAAACTGAATAGACCATACAAACTGGTCACAAATTCAAAGGACACAAAGACAATGAAGGATTTAACATCGTTGCAACTGCAATATAAACAGGTGACAACACATCAGTAGGCAATAACACAACAGGCATCAACACATCAGCAGGACTGTGTCAACACAACAGCAGGCAACAACAAATCAGCAAGCATCAAGTGGGGAACAAAAATTAGCAGACAAGAACACATCAGTAGGTGTTAACACATCAGCAGGTAACAACTCGTCATCAGATAACTACATATCAGCAGGTGCTATCACATCAGCAGGCAACAACTCATCAGCAAGCAACAACACATCAGCAGGCAACAACACATCAGCAGACAACTTATCAGCAAGTAACAACTTGTCAGCAGATAACTACATATCAGCAGACAGCAAACACATCAGCAGAAAACAACACATCAGCAGACAACAACACATCAACAGACAACAAACACATCAGCAGATAACAACACATCAGCAGACAACAACACATCAACAGACAACAACACATCAACAGACAACAACACATCAACAGACAACAAACACATCAGCAGACAACAACACATCAACAGACAACAACACATCAACAGACAACAACACATCAGCAGACAACAACACATCAACAGACAACAAACACATCAGCAGACAACAACACATCAACAGACAACAACACATCAACAGACAACAACACAGCAGGCAACAACACATCAACAGACAACAACACATCAGCAGGCAACAACCACTTCAGCAGACAACAACACATCAACAGACAACAAACACACATCAGCAGACAACAACACATCAGAAGACAACAACACAGCAGACAACAACACATCAGCAGAAAACAACACATTGGCAGGCAACAACACATTAAAGAAACAAAAATTGAGCTGAATTTATACAAGGATCAATATCAAAGGACACACAGACAGAGACATAATAATGAATGAATTACACAGAGCTGTGCTACAAAAGCACACACAGGATATTGTCAGAGACATGATTGTTACTGAAACCTTACTAGGAACAATGTTTCAGAATAAAATCTTTGACAGTGAAATGGTGGAAATTATCAAGGTAAAATCAAAAACATTCATCTTTCAAATGAATTTAACAGTACATGCTTAAGATTAAGTAAATAAAGGTTTATTTTATCAATTTAAAGTGTATATATAGAGCTATATATCATTCTGTTGCCTGTATTTTGAAAAATTGTTCTTTAAATTTTGCAAAAGGATACACTGCAGTCCCATTATAAAACTCATGTTGGAGTCCAAGGTATTGCGTAAAAGTTCTAATAACATGTGATCTACCCGTTATAACTGCGTTCTGATATGTAAAACTCATTGTGAGTGAGTAGGTTAGTTTTAATTTCATACTGAAGGCTTAACAATCTTTGCAACTAGAACTCTCAGTGTAAATGAAGATTTTTTTTTAAGATATACCTAGTAGAGGTCAGTTGATGACTTCTAAAGCTTTATTGGTGTGTGAATATCTCCCTCCTTGCATAATTTAAGGCGCAAACTGGCACCTGAGTAGAACCACTTTTTATAAGCTAGCTGGATAGCTTCCTCACATGGAAGAATCCAGACTCCCTGACAGGATTCAAACCCACAGCAGTGAGGGGCCAGTGGTTTAAGGTCAGTAACCTTAACCACTATACTACAAACATTCAAATTATGTTCTGTTATTTGTTATTTAGTCTGGAAGAACACACAGTGAACAAGCGTACAAGATGTTAGAGTTTCTACCAAAGCGAGGACCAGATGCCTTTGACAGCTTCTGTGAGGCTTTACACGAAGATTATCCCTGGGTCGCAAAACTGCTGAGAGAGACTGTTGAAACAGAAAGTGAAAGAATTTTAGCTGTACAAAGCAAGAAAGATGATATTGCTACTGAACAACGTAAGTTGCTTTTATATCAATCTAATAAGGATGAACATAAAAAGGTAAGTAACTTATGTTAAAATCTATAAATTTATCAAATAAAGGATATGCACATTTACTTCCCTTTTTGATAACAAAATTAATTTTGTATATTTCTTCCGAAATGGTGCACAATTGAATTTTAAAATAGTCCTTCATCACTGTAGGCTGAATTCAGTGCTTGACCTAAACCGAATACATTTACTTTCTTCATGGAAAAGTGACAGCTTCCATTTAAGAACGTAAAAGTTCTGTCATTTCCGCATTTATTTACATGCATTTATTTGAATAAAGTACATCAATTAAATCAATAAAAATCAATTTCCCGATCTAATTTTATATTGAAATGAACAAAATAACTAAAAATTAAATTGGAAATCATCATCTTTTTGACGGACGGAACTCGCAGCTTCTTCACCAGGTCGGATATATACTCGCATTTTCGAATAATATTGGAAGTTTTATTTCAACAAAGACAATTTATTGTTGGGGTATGTATTGCCTTACATTCTATTTGATTAGTTTATGTGTTTTTCAATTATTTTGCAAAATAAAGGAATTAGAATAATGTAGATGATGAACAATGAACGTCTGTCAAAAAAGCAACGTTCGCAAAAAACTGTCCATCGACTCGGTTATTGTGTGATTATGTATTGGGTGGGGATTCAAAGTTAGTGTTAAACTTGGTACTTTCTGGTTTTACAGGTGGTTTCTTAAGTTTTGAAGCCATAACCAGAAATTTTATTGAAAAAAGGTTGCTAACGTAATTTCTGTCAATTTTAGTGAATGACGTTCGCACATTTGTTCCTCAGTTTATAGCTGTTACTTCCCTTTTTTGCGTAGTGACAAGAAACTACGATTAAATCTGTAAGTATCCGAATGCAAAAACATGGCCGAATTGAGACGCTCGATTACATGATCCAAATTATTTTGAGTAAGTTTGTGTCTGTCAAGTGTTTTAAATGTTGACGATAGCAACAATAAGTACATATAGATATTTTTATATATTTTAAAGAAGAGAAAACATATTAAAGTCGAGTTGTATGCAGGAAATAGACAAATACACGGACGTCTACTGCTTCCAATGACTGATTACGCTTAAAGCTGTTGCGAATGTCATTTTTTGACGGACATTCTTGTTGCATACGTCATTTATCGACATACACAATTGGTGCTATCGTCATTCTTTGACGGCTGTTAATGATGCGATCGTCATATTTTGACAACTGTCAATGTTTTGACATAATAAATCTACATGTAAACATTGTAGTGTCAGTAATACTAGGGAGTGAGAGATGGATTGAGTTGAATTACAGTCAAATCGGCCCCAAGTCAGATCGGCCCCAAGTCAGAGCGGCCCCAAAATAGTCAAATCGGCCCCAAGCAAAATCGGCCTCAAGTCAGATCGGCCCCATTTTTTTTCTTTGTTCATTTTCTTATTTAAATGTTGTTAAAAAAAATGTGTGGATTGGAATATCAAATGACTAACAATGGATTACATAGAAAACCAGAACAAAACATAATAATCAATATAATTTATTGTCTGAGTATAACATTTATCTTCACTGTACTAAACTATTTATTGTCTATAAACATATGAACAGTATGTAAATGTCACTTTTCATGTAATTGTCACTTCTCAAGCAAAGGTATAGTGGAACCCCATTGTATCGTGCTATTCATTGTATCGATCTATTCACAAATCTTTAGATTTTTTGCAAAATACGTCACCTACTGATTGTTAACATTAACAACAGTGTCACGAAAATCTTTCGCATTTATTTTTGTACAGTAAAATGATCAAAAACATGTTTCCAGTACCGTAAGACGCTGTAGATAATAAATAGACTTATAAATAATATGTTCTTATTAAAAGTACATTTACTGTCTGTTAAAAGTTCCTAAATTTATGCTGACATTTTAAAACAGACATCTATGTTATTAATTGACTTATTTATCTAACATAAAGATGGTTAATGTTTCCCAAACTTTGGCTAACTGAGCAATTCTCACAATGCATCGATATAATGGCGTGACCTAATTCTTCAACCTGTTTGACATGTCTGTAAATATCCGTTTATTCCAAAGCTAAAAACTATATATCAGTGATGTTTGCCAAGTAAATATTATGGCAAAAGGATCAAAATAAATGATACAAATTAAATATTCAGTGAGATTTGATTTTTTTAAATTCAGTTGTGATTTATGGGTAAATAGATCGATACAACAGGGTTCCAGGCTAAACTATGAATAACTTGCCTTATTACAAATTAATGCTTTCTGTTTTCTCATTTATATGTCTTTAAAAGTTATGTCTCTACAAGTTTGCAGAAAGGTATACCTAAAAATTCTGAGTAATGATATATGTAGGAATACTTAATATTAACTTTATAATGTAAAATCTTGTTTGTTTGCAGTGACTCGAAGCAATTGAAGACTTGTGGCGATGATTTGGCCGACAGTTTGATTGAAGACATTGGTATACCTGCTACCAAGCAAAGGTAAACTATGAATAGTAAATGAAACAATTTCTCTTTGTATACCCACCCTATAAAATGCCGGGCATGATGGCGCGGTGGTTAGTGCACTTGTTTTTCATTTTGAGAGTTGTAGCTTTGATTCTCGGTCAGGCCATTTCTCTCGGACCAATTGATAAAAGTCCTTGTGTCTTAAGTCTTTCGTCTCGCACCTCTGTTTCAAGTGAGGCAGAAAAAGAGGTAATATGTCTAAAATGATATGGAGAGTGTGTGCACAAGTTAATTTTTGAATCAGTTTTTAAAGGCGTGGTTATCAGTTTTTAAAGGTCTACATTTCAACAACTTTTCATGCAGGTACCCTGTAGGAACTAACCTTCTCATCAGAAATGGATCAGAAAGTTTTAAAGCTGTTGTAAGTAGTAATGTTTTAACAGATTGGTTAAATTCAGTACACAAAAAAAGGCAATGCAAACTAGCAAATTTGTCAGCTGTCTGTCAAAAGGTGCAATCAGTATTTTTTTTCAATTTTTCTGGAAATGGACAAAGATTTATCAGCGTTTATAAGAAGCTAAACAATTAGTACTGACTTTATTCTTCAATGCATTACTTTTGTTTGGCCTGTATTGTGCTGTTCCATTTTTGTTACTTTGGAAGTTATGTTTTTAAAAAAAATTGTTACTTGTGAGTTAAAAAGTTGTTTTTTTGTCTTCATCACATTTAATATATGTTAAAACCCAATATAAGGCACTCTTGCTGACAAGATTTGCAGTCAGATATCAATCTCCGGAGTTCATGAGTTTAAGCCTTAGCCATACAACATGAGTTGAATTCCCAGCCATATAACAGTATTTCAAGCCCCAGCCATATAGCATTTATTTAATAAAGATTAATTATTAAATAATTTTTATAATACTGCATGTTTGTAACGTCGCTTTTCATTGGATAATCTTGATGTTTATATAGTGTTTTATACACGTGACACAGCTATTGTTGATTAATAAAGAAATCTTGCTTTATTCCTCTAAAAATGATCCTTGCTAGCGATTTGGGTTTTATTTTACAAACAGCCATTTATATAGGGCCATATAACCTGTCAAAAATCTTTATAACTAATAATATAGCCTTACTATTCAGGTAAAGCAGTTGTCTGTTCATGTGCAAATATTATTTGTTTATACATGTAGTGTATATGCATTTTTAAGTCTTTTCTTCCGGTTAATATTGTGATGATATGAAGCAACATTTGAATGTCAATCAGCTTGACTTCATTACCAGTTGTGGATACTTGGTAAATACATTTGATTGGTTCATTGAGTCCAGTTTGACCTCTTTGATAGATACTGGTAATTGATTAAATGTTATTGGTGCAACAAGTCATTGATTGTACATCATTTTGCAGGTTGTTCAAACCCATGAGCTGCACAGAGAGGAGAAAGTCTATGGATTGTGGGTCCAGTTCTATAAGAAAGGAAAGCGACAATTATGGACATTGGAGGAGAAATCTTTCTTTGTTTGTTGGGAGGATATCATTAAACAAGTTGCTGAACCTACTGTCTATGCATGGATCTAGATAATACTACAAATTTTGAGTGTTTGGTGTACAGTTACACTTAATAGCCCATCAGAAAGGCCGACATGGTGACTTGTGCTTTTACATCCAATTTGGTGTAGACTGTTTTCATACTTTCTTACAAAAACTGTTAGAAATATAATATATCTTTTGAAAAGTTTCAATAGCCATTGTCAATTTATTTTGTAAAATACGTTCTTTAGTGCCTAGAACAGTTGATGGCCAGTGTTTTGACAGTTAATTTCGGATAATGTCCAAATAAATTTACATAATTTACTTGTTTGCTCTTAGAAAACTTTTACTTGTTGTCATTTGTTTTCTTGTATCCATTGCGAAAAAGTACTTTAGAAATTGTGAAAGAACATTTGTTCCGTCCAAAAATGATGGTAGCAACAATTTGTTCCGTCCAAAAATGATGCTAGCAACAATTTGTTCCGTCAAAAAATGACGTTTAGCAACATCATCAAAAATGAATAAATCTGTATCTGGCCTGTTCCCTGCAGAGATAGTACTTCCTTTACATACAGTTTTCAATCTTTTATTACTTAGAATAAAATGCTGCTAATTATAATAAAGAGAATGCTTAATTTTTCCAATTTCTGAATGTTGTGAACGTAAAAATATCCGTCAAATATTCTGTCAAATAATGACGTTAGCAACATGAAATTTAAAACATGATTAAAACTCAAAAATACATCTGCTATAATTTTTATTTTCATGTTTTTGACCTAATATAATAGCAATCTTATCATATATATTAAAAAAACTGCAATTATTTTATATGTACAAAAAAATATCCTTGGGAGCTATTTTGACGGAAATTTTATGTTCTTAAATGGAAGCTGTCTGTTGTAGATTCGAATCCCACTAGGGACATCAGATTTTTTCATGCAAGGAAACTATCCAGCTAGCTTACAGAATGTGAGTGGTTCTACTGTGGTGGAAATGCACAGATATTTACTTTTAAAACTTGTTGTCACACCAGTAAAGCTGACAGTGTCATCTGACATGATGAAAGTCATAGTGTCTCAATGCCAAAAAAATATCCAAAGTAAATAATTATCATTCATGTACATTATAATGAAATTGTAAACTACAGAAGTTTGTATTTTTTTCAGTAACCACACCCAGAAGTTCATCAGCATGTGGTAAGGCGGATTCAGATATCAAGATACGCGTCAGCGCATTTGTACAGAAACATTTTGGACAGATACGTCGTATATCTAATGGTGACAAGAAAGCTATTGAATGGATGATGATTAAATGGTTACAAGCAGAGAGAAAAAGACTTACTAAATCTATAGACGAGGCATATATGGGTAAAACGTCTTCTAATTTTTCTAATTTTGTTTCTTTGATTTAAATCACACTGACTATGGTGACAATCCAGTTTTATGAAAAGAGACAAAGGTATCTCTCTGTGCATCATTTGAGACAATTGTGAAGGCACCTTAGCAGAACCATCAACCTTTTGTTATCTTAAAGCAGGATAGCCTCTTCCAAAGAAAGAATCAAAAGTCCCTGTTTTAACTTATGTTTATACAGATACTTGTTTTCCATATGGTTTTAGAAATTTATCAAACATTTCCCAGGATTTATACTTAGATATATAATGTAATCCAATTTAATTTTCATTTAAAAATTTAAGACTATATATTAAGTTGATAATGAATGACAAATTTCTTTATCTAGGCAACTGACATAACACAAGTTACCTTGAAATTATTCCATAGGAAAGAGTATAGCAAGTTGCTGACAGTTTCAGTGCAATAATTTGCCTCAAATGGAAACGGCAATCCTTTAAAAATTGTCTTACTTTTTGTCAATAAATTGTATTTTGTCAATACAGAAACCCATCAGACGGATGTTCTTCAGAGTGAGAAGGTGAAGGACAAACTTTTCTTCCTTTACACCAAGATTGTGATGAAACAACAGAAATCTCCAGTGAAAAAGATCCTGGGCAGAGCAAAGGTACATCAAATATTACAGGGACTCCACTGAGGTTTTTTGACATGATGGGATTAGGATTTTTTTCAAAGATTTGTGTACCATTTGATGTATATCTGAACCACTAGCTTTTTGCAAATTTTCAGATTATTCTCTTGTCCTGTTTTTATAGAATATTCATTACAACCTTCTCCCTTAATAAAGTCAGTAAGATCTCCCTTAATAAAGTCAGTAAGAATTGCAGTTACTATAAATTTTCACTTTAATTCTGAGTATATTTCTTTATTATCCATTCTTTTTGCATTCTAAGTACTTCACTTGATTTATGTAAAAGTTTATGTAGTCAGTGGAGCTATTTTAGCTATCTTTTTACTTACATTGTTAAATGAAACTTTGCTACAGTATATATTTCATGGGTATACTGGAACCTAGAAAGAGAGTAGTCAAGCAATGTTGCAAACCATCAATATTTAAATGCACATTATGTCATAGAAATGAATTTATTGTTCCTTCCTCAGAAAGGACAAACATGTATTTTATAATGTTTTACTAACAGATATAGAGCATTTTGGATGATTTTCATCTGAAGAAAATACAAGTAAATGTAAAATAATCTGTCAAAAAAGTAGCAAAATGTACAATATTTTGACTTAAATTACAAAATACTTAATCACTACAACTGAACTTATTTCCAAAAATGCATCAGAAGGAAATGATGTTTGAGCTATATAGTTCAAGAATAACTTTTTGGAAATTAAAACCGGGCACTTAAATTTGATTTTTAAAGATTTTGAGGCATTCTCCTCTATACTATAAAGTAGGCCTAATATTTTCTAAGAGCTTATAGGCCTGTTAAGCATACTTACAGCCACTATATATAAGGCAACTACTATTGTTAAGTCATGATGTTAGTCACTTCATACAAATACAAAAACAAACATTATAAATTTTTTTTAATGATTCACTAAAGGCAATAAGTGATGGAGTTGAAGGAGCAGTTACACCTATAGAAGACAAGAACAGAGACATTGCTCCACAAGATATAAACTTTGATGTCCTTAAAGCAGAAATTGATGATCTCTTCACTCATATGGACTACATGGAAAAACAAATTGACAGAAGTTATGACTATATAAATGGTAGAATGAGTGGGAAGGACATATCTATACTTGTACATGAATTATGTGGAGAGTACAGATATAAAGAGAAAGAATTGGTTCAAGAAAAAGTGAAGACAGAAAAAATGTTAGTCGAGTTGTACACTTTCTCCACAAACTCTAGTAAGCTTGAGAATACGATACATGCTCAAGAGCATGAAATCATAGCACTTAAAGAGCAGATAAATAGAGTAAAAGAAGACAACTTGTTGCTTATTAAAGAAGTTACGGAACTTGAAAAAGCCAAGTTAATTCATCTTGAAAAAGAGAAGACACTGATTGAGCTGAAGAAAGCAAAGGAAGATCTACATGTAATGATATCAGTGGTAAATAAAGAGAATAAAGAATTAAGGGAGAAGATGCAGCAAGGAATAGCAAGAAATACTGGAGGTAGACTGTATCAAAATAATAGAAGAGCACTGGCAAATACAACAAACAATGCACAGAAAGCTGTACCGAGAAGAGTGGTGCAAAAGAAAAGATCTGTTAGTTTTAAGATGTGAATTTACTGATAAATTTTAAATATAAATTGTTATTGAATAGATAATGTTATTGAATGTTTATGCCAAACATTAATGCTAGCTATTATAATCAAATCATAGGGCAAAAAAAAATCTACTTTCTACTGATTTACTTGAAAAATTTGTGAAATGATTGTATAAAAGAAATAAATCTTTCAAATCATGATACATATGTATATATTTATGATATTTAATAAAAATTTTCATACTAAATGTTTAGATACTTTACATATAAATGCCATTTGTAATTCATATTCATGCAATGGCATCTAATCACCAAAACATAAAGTTCTCAAACTTTACAGCAGCCCAGTGTGACTTTCTGTTCCCTTAAAAAACATGTTCATACAAAAGATCAATCACCAAAACAGTCTTCAAATAAAACTCCCAATTTTCCTGCAATGGGGCACATAATTTCATATTTGGAACTTAATTTGACAAAAGTGGATTTTACTTTGCCAGACTCAAAATTATGATCTGTTTTGTTTACCTTTACTAAGTAAGAAAATATATATATATTGCTATTATAATACAGTGTACTCCATTTATAACGAGATCGGTTTTAACGAAGTACTGCTTATAACATACATTCTTTTGTGTCCCGGCCTTTTCCCTTAAATTTCCTAAGGTTTTGTTGCTTCAATTTCCTAAGGTTTTGTTGCTTCAATTTCCTAAGGTTTTGTTGCTTCAATTTCCTAAGGTTTTGTTGCTCGCTCTGAGCTCCTGGCTAATTTGTCCTTTAAGTGACAAAATGTTATAACAAAACAACATTTTTGAGTAATTAACACAAATGAAACAGCTTATTTCTTACAGTGTTATTCGGTGCTCGTGAGAAATTCACTGCATGAATTTTGAAACTTAGATTTAAAATGTACATTAAAATAAAATCACACATGTTTAGAAGTAGAAGTCATCGACTCTTACCCCTCGAGTCATTTTAGATTTTGGAGGATAGTTCAAGATACAGATACAGAAAAAATTCTAGAAGCTAGCTTATTCTAGAAGCTTCTCCCAGTTCTTTAGTGTGCCAAGTGTTAAAGCACTCATAGCTGGGACCTCAATTTAAGGTCTTATCTGAAAGACTGCTTTAAAAGATTTTTGTTAGCAACCTTGGGAATCGAACCCACAATGTCAACATTACAAGTCTCGCGCTCTTACGGATTTGCCTATGCGCCCGTATAGGTTCACTGCCAAAATAACATTTTAATATATGATATTTACAATTTATATTAAGGGAGGAGTTACTTTTTCAAATCCAAAATATAAGACAACCCTTTTATTTAAATATATGTATCTACAGAACAATTAACCTGTATAGAAGAGGCCATGTGGATCTGGCATTGTGATTTGATATGAACAATAAAATGAATTAACTAAAACAAGCCTAAATGTGTTATCTATGAACAGATTTTCAAAAGAAGTGAAATTTGATAGAAAGAACACAATGACACTAGTGAGTCACTCTTTGTTTCATATTGCTTAAAGACAATAAACTTTTGTAATAACTACAATGAGGCAATGTGACATACTGAAAAGTGAATTTAAACATAATGTGGGTGACAACAACCTGGATAAATCGCTATTTTTATAGGCAGTTATTTAAAAGAAATATAAAAAAACAGCCAAAATAAGCTTTAATTAAGATGTGAATCTGAATGGATAATTAGAATTTTAAATATGTGTTAGGAAGAACTGGCAAAACCTTTGCATTAATGTTGTTTAAGGTCAAAGAAAATGAATTGTTTAGGTCATAAAAACCATGAAAACAAACATTATAATACTCATGGAAAGATTGAGGAAATACTTGTTTTGCCATTTTGGAAAGTAATGCTCCAAGTTGAAAAACCAATGAGCTTGAATGTTTGACTTAACACTGGAATTTTTAAAACTTGAAAACATTTTGAATCAAATTGTGAAAAGGAGAAGCTCTGTCAATTTATTTCAATTTTATATAATCTCTAAGCTGTTTATCTTAATCAAAACTCAAAGCAATTATGCCAGTGTTTTTTCTCACTTAAATGGGCTTTTGGAAAAAATCATCACTCAAATTGATAATTTGGGAAGAAAGAGCTGGTGAAAGTTCAGAAGTTTCAGAAAACTGCATGATATTAATGAAAATTTATATTGGTAAGAGAGCTTTTATTGGTCTTCGTGATATGTATGGTGAAAAATCACTGCATACATCTATATAAAGACAAAATCTAACCTCAGACATTAAACCATCAAACATGGACCAGAAGGAACGGCGAGCCTTGGACAAATGCTTCGATGGATTTCTCCGTGACCTTGACCCATCCACATCATTCATACATTCCTTGTATGCAGAGGGTGTCCTTACTGAGGAACAAATGGACAGAATCAGTGTAAGTACCCTTTATGTGTATGTAAGAATTACATAAAAAGTCAAATCTTTATTGACTAGTCTTGGAAATTTGGTAAACAGGTTGTCTACATAATTATCACTGTATTTTTGTGCAGCGTGATGGTCTATAGTTTAAAGAAATTTAAATCAACAAATAAACTGATTCGAAAAAGGTGTTTTGTGATCAGGTTGATAAATTTGATAAAAGGTAGTAAACTTTTCACTTGAAGTTTTTTAAATGATTTAAAACATATCTATTAATAGAAGAAAGGAAGCTGAGAAGTTATCCTTCACTAGACCTCCGTATATAACTGTAAACTAACGAAATTAAAACAGTAATCCAGTGACCGAGGTTTCCCTATTATTCTTATTTCAGGATTTAAACCTATCAAATATGAACTTATAAATGCTCATTGAGCAAACTTATCCTTTGTTGCTTCTCAAATGAAATGGGAAAAAAATCATTTTTTATCTGTATCTTCAGAAAATCTCTTCAAGAGAGACCCAGGTAGCCATGTTGATTAGATTCCTCCCTCATCGTGGACCAAATGCCTTTACTGTGTTCAAAGACAAGCTTGAGAAGGACTATCCCTGGCTTGCCCAGAGGCTTGCAGATGAGCTAAAGAAGCTTCAAAGTGGTCAAGCAAGCATTAATAAGAGACTGGTAACTACAATAGAAACAAAGCTTGTTCCACTGGTATATTCTGGAGGAGCAGGTTTTGATATGTGCGATGAAAAAGCACACCCTGGTGTCATTATAGAAAAACTTGGTGATTTGTTAAACAGTCTTGAACTGAAGTGTCACAAAGCTCTTGATATAACAGCAATTGGAAAGCACAAAACTCCAATACATAAACTCATAGAAGATAGACTAAGACAAGAGAAGAGGAAGGAAGGTAATGAAGATGTAGATGACCTTAACAAAGAGGTTAAAGACTTGAAACGGCAAGTCAGAGAGATGACTAAGCTGAAATCTGAAAATGAAAAACTGAAAACTGTTATATCTAGACAGAAGGAGAAGCTAAAAGACTACAATAAAATGTCAAGAGATTCTAAAAGACATAAGCAGGATATGGAGAAGTTTAAGAAGGAGACTGAAATGTTAAGATATGAGGTAGAGACATTGAGAGAGCAGCTTAGGAGTAATATATCTAACCCTTATGCTTAAAGCTGTTCATTGAAGTAAACTGGGAATGTAAAACCAGTTTTTTTCTTTTACTCGACTTTGTCATCTAATATACTCTTAGATTACAAGGGTTGTTCAAAATTAAAAAGGACTCAAGAGTATGGCATCTTTATAATCCATTTACTAATGAAACTTTTTTAATGTAAATTTTTTCGAAGAGTGGGGGAAGAATTTGAACATTTTATTTCTCCCTTCATCACCACAAATGAGGACTGGCTATAGTTACATGATCAAGAAACCTTGTGCACTCGGGGAGAAAACTTTCAGAAATAATGATGTTTGTTGCAATTTGTATTCATTTTGGCAACAGCATGAATGTCATTCACTGTATTGTTGTTGTGCTCCGTGTCACATACCCCTTGTTATTTATAATTTTTACAGAATTGTTACACTTAAACATATTGTATTGATTTTTTTCACTGTATATAAAGAAAATATGTGCCCATAATTATGTCTTTTGTAAAACTGTGTACCGAATTAAAGGATGTAACAGTAGAGCTGCAGTCCTATTGCTTTTTACCAACCCTTGTTCTAGAATTGATAAAGAAATTTTGATCTTCCTGTTTACAACAAAAATGTGATATTCCACTTCTTTGTGTGTTACTTAAAGTAGTTTTATTTCTTTACAACAACAATACATATCTAAATAATAAATTGTTTCAATGTGTTGTATTTGGTGATTTTAAACCAATGGTTTGTTTGTTTTTCTACTTTTTATGTAGATTTCAATACATTTCTTTGGTCATATCCCTGCACTCTATCCACTTAAAATGTCCTTCAGCTTCTCTAAAGGTTATATATGTAAATTTTAGATTAATAGTTTCAAATAATTGTCAAATCAAAAACAATTAATGTGAAAAATGAATTTGCCAACGATAGAATAAATAAACAATAAGGACACTTCTTGGTACCTCTTATCTACCGAAAAGTTTGATATTTTTTCTCTAATGAATAAACAGGACAAGTACATATTGCAGGTCAGGACAAGTCGAACTGACATCCTTACAGAAAATTACAGGGTTACAGTAAGACAACATAATAGTAATAGTATACCATAATTATGAAAATTAATGTTCATCTGAACCCATATTAACCTGCTGTGAATTTGTGTAATGACTTTGCCCAGCTTTCAAGTTTGAATAGTCCTGTGACATTCACAGTTTCAGACATTTCAATATCAAAATACAAAAGTTAAGCTACCAACTGTGCAGAGCCTGACCAGACTGGGTTGGAAGCACAAAAGAGTCAGGCTGAGACTACACTAGTAGAAAAACAGCTCATTAATTGATTTCAGTACCACTAAATAATGTTAAGATTAATGCTTCTAGATAAAGAATCAGGTTTTGGTTGGTTTCTTGTCAAACGATTCTCAACTTTCTAACGCTGAATCAAATATTTTGACCTTACAGAAGAGTATATTTTTTTGTCACTCCTGCAGTTTCGCAAATTGAAAATTCTTATAACCACTCACTGGTAGTAGGCAGTGACCTGAATGACTTTATTATACAGTACAATTGTTCTAATTTTAACAAAATCAACAAGGAAAATCGTGTAGTACGGACCTTGACATGACATTAAGTGTTTCTAAATATATATTTGACTAAATAAATTTTAAAGTTCTTTTTAATTTTTCTGAAATAAGACACTGTTCCAAAACATTAAGGGTTATACTTGAGATATAATTATCAAAGAAAATGTAAAATATCCTCATATATAAAAATAACAAGTCGTTGGTATTATAACAAAAGACTGAAATTAAAATCTTTTATCAAAGACAATAGAAAATTAATGGTTTGATAATCTCCAATCACCTTATGATATGTAAATAGAAATAAACTTTAAAAAGGGAATCTTTAATTTTCCATTAAGTCATGCATTTTGGTCAGGTTCCAAACAAATAACTATTTCTTATATTTATAGACTTAGAGAAGACATTTTGATAGAAAATTTTGTGTCAGCTTAAAGGGCTGTTGCCTGATTAATAGCACTCTTATTTACACTCTTAAGAACACACAAGAAAATTTGTTGCAAAATTGTTTTTTTTTATTATTTAAAGCAGTGGAATAGTGTATGAAGTTGAAATACAAATAAATAAAGCAGACACATTAAATTCTTTTTTTAAGTGACTAAATAAACTGATATGACAGTCAAACAAAAGTAATTAAAAAAACAATGGCAGAATAAATTATGTTAACTGATGTGAAAAGATTTTATACACTTTGAAAAGGATTAGTATATTAGACAAACATTAGTATAAAACAAACATTTCGGATATATAGAATAGTATAACATATAAAATAAACATGAATTCAAAGGAGGTGGCTGCCTTGAAAAAATGTTCAGAGCGGATAAAGAAAGACCTGGATCCAACATATCCCTTTCTTCATTCGCTGTATGCAAATGATGTCATATCACATGAGCAAATGGAGACAATAATGGTGAGAAATTAACCTTTCACTTTCATTCTTACCAAATAATGATAAATAAAAAATATCTTTTCTACTTTTTTGTTTTAAAACAAATTCTGAATATATACTATATTTCTAAACGGCGGCTATAAACCATAATTATGCAAACTGCATTTTTAATTTTCTTCCTTTCGATTGCACTAATCTAAGGAAAATAGTTCTTATATAAATGCTACAATAAAAGAATGATTTGCACAATTTGTTTAACTTTTTTCTCAACAACACTCTAAAGGTCATATGGCAACATTCTGGCTTTACTGATGGAGGAAGACATCAGGTGCCCTTCCATGCATTATTTCGGGCATGAATGGATACCAGAGTAGAACCACTGACATTCTATAAGCTAGCTGGATAGCTTCCTCGCATGAAAAAATTCAAATTCCCTGGCAGGATTTGAACCCACAGCAGTGAGAGGCAAGGACTCAAGTGGTTTGAGGACAACATCCTTGACCAGTCAGCTAGGCATGTCCCTTACTTGAATCATTTTCAGACTGATAATTAACAGTTTTAAAAATACTATTGAACATCATTACTTAAAGTGGTCTTTTATCAATCCTTTTTGAAAAAAGGTTCAAGCCCTGAAGAAACAGGAAAAACATTAAACTTGTAAAATGAGTTAAATTTGGGTGAACAAAAATTTATAATACATGTCACGGTTCAGAACTGTTCACTATTTAGGGGAGAAGATTATGTAAGCAGCCGGATAGCTCAGTCTGTAGATTCCGAGGGTCCCGAGCTCGGGTCCCAGTCAGGCTGCACATTTTTCTCACCCTGTGACATTTGATGCCAAACGGGGGACCGTGACTAATATAGGTCAGAGTTTAATTTACATTGCTCTGTAACTCTGTGAAATTCCAGGAAGAATTTCAATATAGCAGGGGAGTACATGTATGTCACGGTTCAGAGCTGTTCACTATTTAGAGGAGAAGATATGTAAGCGGACAGATAGCTCAGTCGGTAGAGCTGTGGAATGGTATTCCAAGGGTCCTGGGTTCGAGTTCCAGTCAGGCTGCACATTTTTCTCACCCTGTGACATACATAATCTGCAAAGATTGTAACTCACACAGTTTTGGGGGGAAACCCTAAGGAATTTAACGAGGAAATAATTACTCAATACCATTATCTGGTTCATAAAAACAATTATCAATGCATTGTCAAATTATTTTCTTTTGATACAGGCAATCAGTGTCAGCTTAGAAAGAGTCACAAAGTTACTAACTATATTACCAAGAAGAGGTCCGAGCGCTTTCACAACTTTTCGTAACCTTTTATCAAAAGATTACCATTGGCTCGCTGAAGACCTAGATGCCGCTTTAAGAATAAAAAGGAAGGATGCCACTAAAGAGGAAATACACTTGAAGCTTATCAATGTGATCAATAACCAGGTCGTACCCCTCGTTTTCCCTGAAACTTTTAACTTTGTCAGCAGCAAGGACCATATCCATCATACTATTACCAAACTTGGTGATTTGACCAGAATACTGGAGAAAAGGGTTCTTAAAGCGTTAGAGCTGATGAAAACTTCGACCAAGACCATTTGCATTGAAACCCTCATTAATGAGAAGCTCAAAGCAGATAGATCTGCAGATGCCTTAAGTACGGAAATCAAGGAATTAAAAAGGAGGGCCAAACAGGATGAGAAATTGAAGAAGGAAAATGAAAAGCTTAAAAGAACAAACGAAAGCTTGATGAAGAAGCTAAAGGAGAAAAGTCAGGAAATTAAAGATGGTAAAAAACACTACAGTCACTTGAAAAGGGAAAAAGATGAAGCAACAAAGAAAGTCGAGCAGTTGAAGAGGGAAATACAATGCATGAAGAAAGAAATTGAGTCTACAAATTCTATGTGTGAAATAACACCTTTGTACGGGAATTAAAAACTGAATATATGTACATATTAAGTAAAGCTGTTAGGATACATTTTATGATATTTAAGACAATGTCTTTTAAAGTCAGGCTTCAAACAGGCAAAATACATTATTATGAAAAAAGGAAATAACTTGAAACCAGGACCTCTCATGTTTTACCTAATGGGTCGGGATAATCCCTGAAGCAATAAACCTGGTTAAAATTCAACAAAGATCTTAAATATACATATTTGGCAGTGTCCTATATTTCATTTTTTACACATAATCAAAATTTTAAGTAAACAAGTAGCCTTAAGCAATAATCTATCTAAAATGCTTACTTTTGGTATGTTTCCAAAAGTTGAAAAACTATATAAACCACATTTATGTTATACTATGTATGACAGTTTTATATTTACCTATCATAACATGTATAAATGATATTGATTGTGACACTTAGTTTTTAACTATTATTTGCTAGATGTTAAGATACTATACATGTATAAATGATTGATTATGACACTTTGTTTTCAACTATTATCTGCTATATGTTAAGACATTATTTAGATTTGAATACATATTACAAATAAAATTCATTATGAATACAATATTAAATTATTATTTGTGCATATTGCCTTTGAATTACTGTATATTCACACTGAATTGTTCTCCCTCAGCATATGCTGGTCATTCTAAAGCTGAATACCAAAATCAAGAGGCTTAAATGCCTCTTCAGACTTCCCGAAAGTTGAAAAAAACTGTCAGACATTCGGTCTGACATACCATGAAAATCTGTCGGACCGAAACAAAATCAGTCGGACCAAATAAAATTGATCAAAATCAAATAAAAACTTGTGTGTGTATTTCTAAGACACTTTTTGTTTTTCATTTTTTCGCCGTCAAAATCGGCACAATCCGTACAGCGCATTTTCATCCCCTCCCTGTCAAACATCAATGATTCATGGTTCTGCTTCCATTTTTCATTAAATTTTGTCTCAGGTCTATTCTTTTCATCATTTTATTGCTGTTCTGCGCACTTTTCTGATGTAGATTTTCGGTTTTTCCAAGGTTTGGCACCTTTAGCAACGCCATTTTGTATACATGCGGCTTGGATAAAAGCCGGACAGTCGGACCGATCCGGAATAAAAAATTGTCGGACCTGATCAAAATTTATCGGACATGTCCGTCGGACCGACGTATTTCGGGAAGTCTGCTCTTCCCAATTAAGTTAGGTAAACTTACGGGTCACCCAGTTTACACCAAACCTTTCAAATAAACAACTAAATAACTCACAGTCTGCATCAAGTTGATCTTGTTTCGATGTTAACTGTTTCATTAGGATATCCAGTTGACCTAGCTGAGACTCGAACCTGGACACCTGGCAAATATGTTGCTCCCTCTCGTTAGCCTGGATCTTCTCCTGACGCTCCGACTCTCTCACCTTCTTCTCTAATGAATAGTTAGCTAACTGAAGAACAAAATATCAATGTGATTATGAAACATAGGCATCGGAGGTCTCGTGGTTACACTGTCTGCCTCTCAACCCAGCAATCATGGGTTTGAGACCTACTAGGGTTACGACCATGTTTCTTCATATTATCAGTACTGTGAACTCAGGAGTGGTAGAAATAAGGCTTAAGCTTCAAACTTTCATTACAAATAAATAGTAAGTTTAAACAAAAAATATTGTAAAAACACTTCTTGATTCTGGACAAGTGTTTCAAGATTATTATGTAACTGTGCAGGCATTTCTGGATATTGTACAAGCATTTCTAGAAACTGTACAAGCATTTCAAAAGACAGCATATGCATTTCTAGATAATGTCTACAAGCAATTCTAGATAATGTTCAAGCATTTCTATACAAATTTCTATACAAATAGTTATCTCTCTTTTTTTAAAGTAACTGTCAACCCCATCACATGCTCATGTCAATATCTAAGAGCTGCAGCAGTTTACTGATATATACTAGCCACTTACTTGAAGTCTTCTAATTTCATCCTTCAGGGCATCTTTCTCTTTCTCTGCCATCTTTCTATACACCTGCTGTTGAGACTGTAAAAATATACAAGAAATAAATTTAGTGGCAGCATGGCCAAGTGGTTTACATGTCAGACTAGTAATCTAATGATCGCAAGCATGGGTTTAAAGCCTTTCAAGGGCAAGTTGTTGTTTCCTTGAGCAAGAAACTTAACACTCATTGCTCAGTACTGGTTGGTTCTAGGAACGGATTTGAAAGTGTGTCTATAACAGTCATCGAATTTAGCACTGGCCTGGTGGCCCATGGCCAGTGAAAATTAGTTCGGGCCAGTGTACATTTTAAGAAAATGTAGTTAAATATATAGTAGAATAAATTCAGAACTTGAATTCGGGCCAGTAAATTCAAAACCTTAAATTCAATGACTGCTATAAGCTTCTAACTTCCTAAGCAATTGAAATAAAATAAATTCTGCATAAACCAAATAGATTTATTGAAATATACTTTAGGTACAAGCATTTAGTCAAAAGTAGAAAATTTCAAACTAACAAAAAAAAAATCTTCGAAATGCATTAATTAACTAAGCTTGAAATGAAAATAGGTTTGGAAAATTTTCAATTACATCAAAAAAAGAAATACTGTCAATTCACTTCATTTTGTTGGCATGAAATTTCGTGGTTTTGTCACAAAAGGGTAATTTCAGCAATGTTTTGTTAAAAAATGGGAAAAAATGCATGACTGAAATTTTGCAGTGATTAAATGAATGAAAACAATCACTGTCTAGGATGGCATCTTCAAACATTTTAAGCACTATCACAGTGAATATATAAGCCCTTATTTTCAAAGATTTTATAATTTTTCATTCAATATTTTGCAACTTTCAACTGGGAATTTTTTTCTGTGGATTGGGAAAAAAATATAGTATTTTCAATTGGGAATATGACCAAATATTAGCAACAAAATAAGCCAAAAAAAACATAATACTTACAGCCTCTACTTGATAGTCCCTCATCTTCTCCTCTAGTTGCCTCCTTGTCTCCCTCAACTCAACCTCGTGCCTCTCACCAAGGTTAGCCACCTTACCAGATTCTTGATCCTGTATTTTAAATCTTTGTCACAGAACAATTTTCTCCTTAGAAGTCTTTTAATATTTACTTATCAATCTGTAATGGTGACTTAAAATTTATACTTAAAGTATAACTTGCTCTTTTTAATGACATTTGATTATAATGACATTAACAGCACACCAACATATTTGTTCAGTCCCATCTTTATTTTCCATATCAACTTAATATCATTTGGATCTGGTTGTATTTTTGGACACTTGTAATACCTGCCAGGTGACCATACATTAATGCTACTTTTTTTAGGAATTCCTATAGAAGTGTAGCCTTCACCTTGAGGTACAGGCACAATATGCTGTTAAGCATTTTGATTTATGTAGAATTATTTCAAACTTCATTTATAAATGACAAAGTTTTGGAATGGAAATAATTGTGGATGTCTGTCATTGTATCCAAACCAACATCCAATGGTTTATGAGCTTCATTCCATGGCCTCTACACAGTCAGAAAACCAAAGATCAGTCCATAACTCAATCTTTTTTAACTAGCATATTTTACTGCTGCATGTTGACAATGGAAAACTTGTCTAAGCCAATTCTTTTTGGATTGTATATCCAAGAAACTTACACTTCAGTAGCTGACAGAAAGTTCTACAAGCTCTTAATTCACAAGATAGAGCCCAACCACAGCCTTACCTTTTCTGTCATGATTTTGATCCAAGACAAAGTGTCAAACTAATATCATTTAGATGTCACTTCAGTTCTTAGTCTGACAGTAAATAATTTAATTACCCAAAAAAGCAACAACAATAAATACCAAAAAAAAAACAAGTAAAAAGCTACAATTTCATGTTACCAGTTTCCACCCCATGTTGTATCTCTCATTGATCAGTTTTTCTATTTTCTTTTCATTCTCTACAGCCAGTTCTCTTCTCATTTTTAGCTCCTCTATGATCTCATATGTCAAAGTACTGAACCTCATTTTGTCTGCTCTGCTAAAAGCTGGACCTGAGAATTTTGTTAACACCAGTTACAATTTTAAAACTACTGTAACTAACACAATAACTCACTCTCTTTAAATATTTGATACCTGAGAATAAACCTTTTTTCACATGCAAAATGATGAGCGGTTTCATTATGACCAGATAGTTGTGTCAAATCCCCTGGCCAACTGAGTTGATATACTTTCTGTAATTTCATTGCTCGTTTTTTTATATATGTATATAACAAGAGCACTGCACAGGGTGTACGTTAAGGCTTTTTCATTAAAATAACAATTTTTGACAAAATTCTAAGTTAAAAAGGAGCATAACTCCAAAAATATAGCTTTCAGAATAATGCCCCTTGTCTGACAACTGCACATAGTCAAGTTAAGCAAATATTCCAAGTTTCATATTGATAATTTTTTAAATGTTTGAATGATAGGCTATTTTAAAGTTTTTCCAAGACAACAATCACAATGATGATGACAATAACAACTAGTATAATGACACAGCAGTCATAATAGCAGTGTTTTATTTTCACTTTTGGAGGAAGGTGGTCGGTGCCTTTTGAAGGGGGAAAAATGCAGTAGGAGGGGGATTTTATTTGTTTACTTATTTTACATTGTTTTCTTTGTGGTGGAAAAGGGGAGCAACTCTTGCAACACAAGTTTAAAATACGTCTCTTTTTCTTAATATACTGATCTAAAATTTGATGCGTCATATGTAAAACTTATTGGGTAGCTCCCCTTACCAACCAGAGAACGATTTGTAAACAACCTTGCTTAACAGTAACTCTTACAGGCATTAAATAAAACATTTTTCAGCAGTTAGTTGCAAAAAAAAAAAATATTTATTGCAAGAAAATTCAGGCTGCCATATAGGAGGAAATTTAGGCTTTGAAGGGGAAAAAACATACTGTTTTGAGTTGGGGGGAATGGGGCAAAATTTCGCCTAATATTTTGGTGAAAAAAAAAACACTGTTATTATTATAATACATTCGGACATTATTCTGACATTTTTCATCAACATACCAGAACTTGTAGCATCTCCTTTACAGTCAGTTTCCCTCTCCATATTGTTACTGCAATGTATACAAACAAATTTCCAAGCAATTAAAAATTTAGTATCTGCTACACAGTTTTACCCATTACCCCTGTCTTAGTTTTACTAAAAAATAACTTTATAGGTAATTTTAAATTGCTTGGAAATTACACATAGACAAACAATTTCCTTTTCATATGAAAATGTGATACCACTAAATATTCATCAGACTTTACACATGGGTCTTTTTTAATTTGTTTGTTTGTTTGTTTCATTTTACGCCTTTTCCCAACAAAATTTCAGTCATACAGGTGGGTAGTTTCCTAACCTTTGTTCCTGGAGAGTTACACCAGTACTAGTCTACCTTCCTCCAAACTAAACTACCAAAGCATCTCCCAGGATCAAACCCACGCCAGAGAGGTAACTGGATTAGAAGTCATCGATTCTTACCCCTCGACCACGGATAAAATCTAAATTTGATATAAAGATTTTTCATGTGATGACTCTGTGAAATATTTTCTAAAAGTGATACCAGCCTGCAGATCTTGGACAAGTTCCCATAGAGTGCGTGTGGGTATTACTGAATATGCATGCATTGCAAAATATTATTTTCTTTTCATCATAACCTTCTTGATATTCCTCTAATAAGGCAGTGACATCATAAACATGATGTCACTTCCTTTCCAGACATATCTGACATAATTCCATCAGAAGCAAAGATTTTCAAGACAAAAATACCACAAAGCTTCACATTCACACAAGTTGAAGTACATGTACTCTGATACAGATTTTCAAATTTTAGATACTTGATGTCATAAGTTTAAATGGTCATGTGATTCGGATAAACCGCATGTTTCTTGTTATTTGTGAAACAAATACATGTATGTGATATGGAAAATAACTCCATTAGTCACTAAGATATTTATTTACTGATTTATTTGCAAGTACGGAACAACAAGCAGTTTAATTTTGTCTTGTGTGTAAATTACTGAACACAGTGCTCACAATGATTAAAACAACACAGTTATCTGATTATTATAGCATTACAAATTTATCTAAATACAGTTATAGTAGTAAAATAAATAATTTTATACATCTAAATAAATAAAATGATTAATCAATAATTAATTAATCAATCAATATATCAATCAATCAATTCATTAAGCCAATTTATCTAAATACAGTTATAGTAGTAAAATAAATAATTTTATACATCTATATAAATAAATAAATAAAATGATTAATCAATAATTAATTAATCAATCAATATATCAATCAATCAATTTATTAAGTCAATCAATCATTTATCAAATAGATAGATAGATAAATAAATAAATAGCTCTTCTAGTATTTTAGGAATGAGCAGGCAGATTGGCACAAAACGGCAGAAATGCTTCACCATGTAGCTGAACAAGTTTGTATTGAAACCAAGCGTAAAAAGTTTGGGATTTTGAGTAAAGTTCTGAGTAGAAAGACCCTGCTTAGTTTGAGGAAAGACGTAAAAATGCACATGTCACGTCATAACTCTTTATAAAATGTTTTTTGCATAAACCTCATATTCGTCTGAAAAAGTCATGATGTGATTGATGGTATTTAATTGTTGTAACATATTAAATCTAACAGTCCTACCTTAAAACTATTATAAGCACAAGAAAGAAATTGCTTATTAAAAAAATCACGACATCTTCCTTCGTCTGCACATCCGGGCTATTTACGCAATTCGTACCAACTAAATTTCGAACCAGACAATGTCCTGCGGACCATTCACATACGATAATATGTGTACGTTCGTATATTTACATTACTGGTACACTGTCATAGGATGTAAATTATTTTGTAATAAACGTAATTTTCAGCATTTAATTAGAGAGTGGTTTTTTAACCAAAAGCAATCTATTTCTTTAGAAGAGTCCCAAGACAAAAACTAAGTTTGCATCTGGGACATAAGATAACTTATGTCCCAGGTTTGCATGTATGATTTCTGAGAGTGAGATAGGCATAATCAAGTAAATATGTACATGAAGATAGTAAACTAGATACAGCATTAAAATATTCCTTCTGAATTTGGTAGCTTCCTTTATTATGTTTATAGTATTATTTTATATATACTTTATATTTCCCAAGGTTAAAAATTACTTCAATTCTTTAAATATATTGCCATCACATTCAGCACGTGCTTAGCCTTTCAGGTAGTATTTTACTAGTCCCACACCTTCACAGTCATTGTTAGTTAGGCCGCAATGTTAATTGTTTACATGTATACAATCGGTTGTAAACCCCCGTTGTTTCATGTATAATTATGTATATTTTGTACATTGAATCGTACATTGAATTGAAGTTTTGATTTGGCCGTATTTTGAAGTCGGAATAATCTGGGCAAAGTATAAGCCACTGCGTCCTAGGGGAAAATATAACATGTATGTCATGAATATAATTACCAAAAGTAATAATAAATCTAAGAGTATACATGTTTATCTGTATAGATGACTTTAATAGGAAATGTGTGCAGTTTTTAAATAGTGACATCATTTTGTAGGGGGCTGCGTTTAATGAAAGTTATACTTAAAATTTCATTAATATTACAAGTTTGTGGATTGTAAACTAAGTTTTTATCTAACCAGTTGCCCCTTAGAACTTTACCACTGTGACTTGCACTGTGACTTGCACTTTTCATTCGTCGGTGGTTCTACTCAGATTCTCTTTCGACAAGGAAGGACACCCGAGGTATTCCTTAGAAAGTCGCCATATGTCCTTTACAGTGTTCATGGTGCCGACGTTTCTTAAAACCCAAATCAATCAATCAATCCATCAATCAATCAATCAAATTGTGCCCAGCGTACATCGACATGCAAGAGAGACTTTATATAAATATGTAACGAAACATTTTTTTGTCTTTCAGGTTATTTATTACGTTAGGCTTATGTGATGATAAATTTAATTCACATTATTTATTCAAAGGTACATTATGTCTCAGTTATGTATCTATAAAAATGGCAAATACATGCGTTTAATAATGCTATAAAAACGGATTTAGACTATGAAGGATGCTTTTACCCGTATATGAGTGCGTGAAATGTTAAACATTTCGTGATAAGGTAGCAAAATGTAAACAAATTTGTATATAGTAAGTTCAATAAAACACGCCTTTTCAAGCTTTCGCTTCAGAAAAAAGAAGATTTTATAGGAGAGATTTACCAGTGGCCAATATTCTAAAAATAGAATTGCTGATAAGCACTGACCATAGCAACCGTTGCTGGTCGTACATCCTCTTTGTACTACCTAGTCATTTTACATAAGAAAACTATGGTGTGTATGTCTATTAAGAAATAAATATGAGCTCTGTTTCAATAAAGTAGAGGTTTTGATGCTAAAGCATCATTAGACCCCGAATAAAAAATGATTGTATTATCATAAATTTAAGAAAATATCAGTTAAATGGTTCATGAATAAAGAAAAGATTAACAATATGTTAAGTAACTATTTATTTACAATAAAGACATATGTGAAACAAACTTGCTTAGAAATATTGTCAAGAAACTGTTATCATTTTTTAAATCAGCAAAAAATAACGTACACTTAATTCATCGTAAACTTAATTCATCGCGAATAAAACAGGTGATTGAAAATAATTAAAGTAAAGCATTAACATTAAGCTTGCAAAGTGACTGGGAAAATATGTTTAATTATTGAAAGAAACGATGCAATTCTATTGTACTTTTAAAGGTACTGACTACAAAATTATATAAACAAAACAATCTTTCTTATCTCATATTTCCTATTTATTTATTTTTTATTGAAAATAAATAAAACTGTAGGGAAAAGAAATCTTCAAACAATTATAAAAACTGTAGGCAAAAGTAATATTCGAACAATTATAAAGACATTGTTTAGATATTTGTAATAATGTGTGGCCTAAAAAAAGTTATAATTAGTTAACTACATCAAATATATAATGCCTAGCTTATAAGTATGATATAGTTTTAGAGGTGTACCAGTATTCTGAAATAAATTCACGGAGGTCATTATCATATCTACCTGATCCCAGATTTTTTTCCAACCACAGATGTGACACATGACTATTTTGAGTAATTATGTTGCCTTTTCTTTTTTATATTGGCTGCTGTAAACATGTTTAACTGGGGATTTTGTCAACTTTTTAAATAAATTAAATTTATCCTAAACAATTTCAAATAGCACCTGTCGGTCAAACACCATTTTAACAGTCAATCTTTTGAAATATAAAGTCAATTCAGCTCAAATTGACTATGAAAATATGAGCATAATGTCACTTTAACTTGCTAAATACTTAAAACTGAACATGAACTAAGCATAAAGTTTTAAATTATATTTATGTTAACAACACTCAGTTTTGGGTCTTAAGCATACATTTAACAATGGCTAAAATATAATACCCTTGAATCATAAAACATATTTACATTGACAGGGTGAAAAAAGGGAAAATGAAAATGAAACAAAACTGAGCAATTAGCAGGCATATTTCACATAAAAATGATAATTCATAGAACACATGTAGCGAGTTGTTTCAAGATTGATATAGACATAAAAATTAAAGTACATGTAGATGTTTAGCAAAAATTAAACCCTTTATAACATCACACTTATCTTATATATAAAATATATCAATACTATTTAGAAAATAGTTTTGTATTTTTTTTCTTCATTTTGAATATTACAAAAAATATATGTTCAAATAATTCTGATCTTTAAAACTTTGCCCCAGGAACATCATCTTATGTTAACTTTACAGAAAATGCTATCATTGTTTACATGTTGTTTGTACGACCTTCTAAGATTGTGTGTATACGTAGTCCACACAGCAGTTATCAGTGACGTGGTGGTAAATCTCTCCTATACGTTAAATAGCAAATGACGCAACATCCGTCCGTACGTTTTTTTATTTTTGAAAAATGTAAAATACTAAATCACAAGAAAGGGACTTATTTCCAAATAGCTAAAAGCTCAACTATATACCCTTTTAAAAGGATATCAAGAAAAAAAGAGAAAGATTTGAACATTAAAAATGAAAGCATTTTTTAAAAAGTTTGATTGGCCTTTTTAATAATTTTAAGGAAGGGAAACAACTTAACAAATTCTTTAGTATAAAGTAATCTCGAGTGCTTTCCCTTTTATGGCTATACAGATCGCTGCCGTGCCCCCCAACAGTGATTTTATGATCTACAAAACATGATGATCATTCCCACTAAATACAGATTTTTTTTAATTGAATTATCTTATCACTAAAACCAAGTTATTCCGTCTTGCTCGATTTAACACGCAGTTTAAGATTATGTAACAGATATTATAAACAGTGCACAAGTCCTTGAAATCCTACGGACGCATGTGTTTGTGGTTGACGGGGTGTGGATATAATTCATGTTTAATGATTCAATTCTTTCATTTACGACAACATAAGACACATGCCCTGGGCCTAGAAACACATATACATTTTGTTTCACCACAATAAGAAACACGGGATAGAACCCCGTATGTATCTCAAAAATGTGGTAAAAAGTATGTGTGAATTTCCGCTGCTCCAGATGTGAAGCTAAAACTTTTTAAACAGTTCTATAAAATTCAATCACTTTTTAAGAAAACCGAAATGTGATTCTACCCTCCTGACTCTCCTTTATATTACTCATTTTTGTTTTGATTTCTATGTAGTCTTCATCGAGATATTCTTTCCGTCGTGGGTTCTGGTGTGTCCAAAACATGCAATGTGTTTGAAGAAAATGTCACTAAAAGGACTTAAACGGATTAAGTAGCAACATAATTACGGATCACTTTCATAAAGCAATCTATAATTTATTCTTTTGTGTATCATTCTGTAATAGTAATAAAAACTATTATGCAAAATAGACACATTTTCACGGACGAGCTTGAATAACATAGTATCCATATAGAAAGAGATAAAAGACATTCTGCATATGAAAGGCATTGAAAATACGTAGATATGGTGAAAAGGCCTTGCTTATTTTGATTTACTGCCGTCGTGTGTACTGCAATCATTCCCTTTTATGCCGTCAAACATAATCAGTTAACTAATTATTCACTCGACTGCACTGACTGCTTAATAGGGGAGTAATGTGAATCGTGTTTGAATTTGGTATGATACTGTAAGGCCGCGTCTACACCTATCCAGGTGACATCCAAGAAGGTAATTTCTTGCAAGAAAATTAGGCCGCGTCTACACCTTTTCAAGTTTCTTACATGTTACATTTAAATAAATGGCCCTTACAACATATAATCAGGCACAATTTTTACTGAAATGTTTTATTAAGATTGTCCAGGATTTATACCTTTATAAATATATACTTTATTGAGACTTGATGGAGACAGGTATTTTTTTTCATATATGTAAAAATTGTTTGAAAACCCGTTTTATCTTTGTAACAGGTGTCCCATTCGTGTTTAGATATTACAATATTTTTGATAAAGGGTTTGCATGGTCTGACCCCCAAGCGTCTATGGTTTCTTACGCCAGTTACAATTTTCAGGGGAGGTTACTCTATCTGGCTTAATAATGAAAGGTAGGAGTAATTTCCCTTTGGTTTCTTGTGCTATTTGCAAATTGCAGGAGAGGTCACTTTATCTGACTTAATGAAAGGTTAGAGTGATTTCCCTTTGGTTTCTTACGCCATTTGCATCTTTCAGGGGAGGTTACTCTATCTGACTTAATATTTTAAGGTAAGAGTGATTTCCCTTTGTTTTCTTCAGG